AATGGGAATAATTGGATGAGGTAGTGAGGTTCAGTGAGTGGGAATAATGGGAGGAGGTAGTGAGGTTCTGTGAGTGGGAATAATGGGAGGAGGTAGTGAGGATCTGTGAGTGGGAATAATAGAAGGAGGTAGTGAGGTTCAGTGAGTGGGAATAATGGGAATGGGAGGAGGTAGTGAGGTTCTGTGAGTGGGAATAATGGGAGGAGGTAGTGAGGTTCAGTGAGTGGGAATAATGGGATGCGGTAGTGAGGTTCAGTGAGTGGGAATAATTGGAGGAGGTAGTGAGGATCTGTGAGTGGGAATAATAGAAGGAGGTAGTGAGGTTCAGTGAGTGGGAATAATGGGAGGAGGTAGTGAGGTTCAGTGAGTGGGAATAATGGGAGGAGGTAGAGGTTCAGTGAGTGGGAATAATTGGAGAAGGTAGTGATGTTCTGTGAGTGGGAATAATGGGAGGAGGTAGTGATGTTCTGTGAGTGGGAATAATGGGAGGAGGTAGTGATGTTCTGTGAGTGGGAATAATGGGAGGAGGTAGTGAGGTTCAGTGAGTGGGAATAATGGGAGGCGGTAGTGAGGTTCAGTGAGTGGGAATAATTGGAGGAGGTAGTGAGGTTCAGTGAGTGGGAATAATGGGAGGAGGTAGTGATGTTCTGTGAGTGGGAATAATGGGAGGAGGTAGTGAGGTTCAGTGAGTGGGAATAATGGGAGGAGGTAGTGAGGTTCAGTGAGTGGGAATAATGAGGGAGGAGGTAGTGAGGTTCAGTGAGTGGGAATAATGGGAGGAGGTAGTGAGGTTCAGTGAGTGGGAATAATGGGAGGAGGTAGTGAGGTTCAGTGAGTGGGAATAATGGGAGGCGGTAGTGAGGTTCAGTGAGTGGGAATAATGGGAGGAGGTAGTGAGGTTCAGTGAGTGGGAATAATGGGAGGAGGTAGTGATGTTCTGTGAGTGGGAATAATGGGAGGAGGTAGTGAGGTTCAGTGAGTGGGAATAATGGGAGGAGGTAGTGAGGTTCAGTGAGTGGGAATAATGGGAGGCGGTAGTGAGGTTCAGTGAGTGGGAATAAATGGAGGCGGTAGTGAGGTTCAGTGAGTGGTTATAGTGAGGTTCAGGAGTGGAAGTCTGGTGGGAAGTTTAGGTGGTAAAATTAACGCTCATGGGAGATATGGTTAAGGGCCTATCAGTAGATCTCTATCATACTCATTCTTGTTTGAAGATGGGTGGGATGTACAGGACATAAACCAAGGCTGTGATTAACCCTACATTTATGAAATAAAAATAAAGATGGATTAAATCTAGCTGTGATTTGTCAATCAGAAACAAATTGCAACTTCACCGGTATATTTACTGAAGTGAGAATTTAAAGTGAATTTCTATTTTAAGGTCATAGTTGGTAACGCTAGAATCAGAGCTGACTTAGAGAACGTTTCAAGTTCGGCTTTTTTAACCTTTTATTTCAAATTCACTTTGCATTCACCCTAAATTCTCACTTTAGTTAATAGGCTATATAAATCCTGGTTACCTTCCAGCACAGTCCGATGAGATTAATACTGTCCAATGAAAGAATAAATATTGCATATTTTCCATTTATTGCCATGTGTTCCTTTATCTATTTAGGAAAATATTATGGAAAATAGCACAGGAATATAAAAAGAAAGTTTTTGACTGATCACTTACCTTTATTCCAGCGCTGAGAGATCGATTTGATCTTCCTCTTATGAAGTCACCGAGCTCGGTGGCTCCGATCCTTCTCATAGAAATCACAGAATATAAATGTTGATGACGTCTCTCGCAATAGGTACAGTTTTCCTTTGTAAGACTGCAGGGCATCAACTACCCCTCACAATCACTTCATTACGATGAAGAGAAATTCTATTTTATACACAACATGCAGACAAATCGGTTGGCTTTTTGTAGATAGTGCTGACACTGTTTTATCTGTGTTTGAAGCCCAACCTCCTAATCCTGTCAATCCCCAGCCTAAACCAGGCCGAACATAATAACCAAACACAACAGTTTGTTTAAGGTATACGTCTTTTGTTTTACTTTTCTTAGACGCAAAGTTTATGCACATCTTGCAAAGTGTATCACAAAAGATACTAAAGTGTATCAGGGTTAGTAACTCAAGTCAGAATTCAATTTCAAAAGTAAGGCTTCTACTTTGAATTCTCACTTCATTGAATAACTCTGCAAGTCTTTCAATGATAAATATGAGTTGGTCGATACTTAGTGAGACAGCCTGACCTTGCTGCGCGAGCTTGGAGGATTGGACATGTCTTCTGCGTGTGTGTTCAGTACATGGGCAATGTACAGGCTGTCTGGTTTCCTGCAAAAAGACAATAGATATCCACAAAAAAAGGAATAGACAGTGTCTGAAATGACACAACAAATGCAATGGACAAACAGGTGGCAGATCGTTGAGTGTTTGAAATTCTTTAAAACATAGAGCAAAATCCATACTGAGACTTTAAAGACTCAATTCACCCGTAGAAATAAAAATTAATGAGCCAAATCTATAGGACGGGTCAAGAAAGGACAGATGGGTTCAAAACTGAAACCGAGCCCAAGTAAAGATTAAACAATGTGTGAAGCAAGGGAGAGACAGAGGGAAAGGGAGAGCGAAATTACAATCAATGCTCAATTGGAACTGTGGTGGAAGGAGACAACTGGCAACTACTTACCCTCCATAGGCACCAATGGGGAAGCTATGTTTTCTAGAAAACATCCAGAATCTGTGTATTTTGAGGGCTCTCTTCCAGCCTCGTGCACTACGCAGTGCGACTGCTTGGCTTGAAGGTGCACAAGAGAATACATGAGTCAAGGAGAGACCACCTGCAAGACCATCAGCCTGTCTAATTAATGCCAAAGTCTCCACTTGAAAGAGAGATGAAAATGTCAGATAGACAATCAGTGGATGACCCCATGTGGGATTACTGGGCCCCCCAGCCGGAAACAGACAAGATTCTCTCTCTGATGGCCTTTCCCTGCTTGGAATAGCGTCAGCAGTGTTTTCTAAGCTCCTCTCATTGTCCCTCTCCTTCTAAAGTGACACATTTTAAATCTCCTCCCGCTGCGTTCATCGTCCTGCGGTGAGGATGACATTAACTAGAAAAGCCATAAAGGAACAAGCACTGCATATACTTCCCTATTTAAAGCTATGACAAGCTCTCACAGAAACAGAAATACTAAACATTAACCATTTCTGTAAGCAGAAACCCAAAGGTTATCAAACGGTATTTATTTCTGATGCACTCTATACCTGGGGCTGTCTAAAAACAGAAATTCTGTTAAACATAACACAATCTGCATAACAACTGTCAGAAAATGATCAGATACAGCATAAGCCATTTTTATGGTAATGTTTATAATTAACATCAAATAGAACTCGGCTCACTCAAAAATAAACAAAAAAAATAAAACAAAAAAAATATCAAACAGAAAACTGCTTTTCAGGGAATTGATATTAGAGATATCGGACTGAGTTACATTCTTCTGGCTCCTAATTACTGGTCAGCCGCTTCTTTCTAAATTGCCTGTCGTTACTTTTAGAGCGACGGAGAGTTACTGAAAAGCTGTTATTAACAGTTCCCATCATTCTCTCTGGGAGCCACTAACCACTACTTAGTGACTGGTTTACATCCTGTCACTACTCAACACTGGATGCCACTAACCCAAAAACTCAACAGCAGCACCTGGAATGGTGGAAAGAAGTTAATTACAGCTAAATCTCTCTACATCCTATTGAATTGAAAAATCGTGTTCCAGCTCTGTCACTAGGAGTGGAGGTGGGGGCTGGCAATATTTAACTTGTGAGCCTGTATTGTTCAAATGAAAGGCATGAGATCTCGGTGAGGATGGTTATACTCAGATAAAGCACAATACATAAATATTACCGTTGGCACCTGGTGAAGTTGCACAGACAGAGCAATGATGGAGATAGAAACACAGAAACATAGAATGTGACGGCAGATAAGAACCATTAGGCCCATCTAGTCTGCCCAATTTTCTAAATACTTTCATTAGTCCCTAGCCTTATCTTATAGTTAGGATAGCCTTATGCCTATCCCACGCATGCTTAAACTCCTTTACTGTGTTAACCTCTACCACTTCAGCTGGAAGGCTATTCCATGCATCCACTACCCTCTCAGTAAAGTAATACTTCCTGATATTATTTTTAAACCTTTGTCCCTCTAATTTAAGACTATGTCCTCTTGTTGTGGTAGTTTTTCTTCTTTTAAATATAGTCTCCTCCTTTACTGTGTTGATTCCCTTTATATATTTAAATGTTTCTATCATATCCCCCCTGTCTCGTCTTTCCTCCAAGCTATACATGTTAAGATCCTTTAACCTTTCCTGGTAAGTTTTATCCCGCAATCCATGAACCAGTTTAGTAGCCCTTCTCTGAACCCTCTCTAAGGTATCAATATCCTTCTGAAGATACGGTCTCCAGTACTGTGTACAATACTCCAAGTGAGGTCTCACCAGTGTTCTGTACAATGGCATGAGCACTTCCCTCTTTCTACTGCTAATACCTCTCCCTATACAACCAAGCATTCTGCTAGCATTTCCTGCTGCTCTATTACATTGTCTGCCCACCTTTAAGTCATCAGATATAATCACCCCTAAATCCCTTTCCTCATATGTTGAGGTTAGGAATCCATCAAATATTCTGTACTCTGCCCTTGGGTTTTTACGTTCAAAATGCATTATCTTGCACTTATCCACATTAAATGTCAGGTGCCACAGCTCTGACCATTTTTCTAGTTTACCTAAATCATTTGCCATTTGGCTTATCCCTCCTGGAACATCAACTCTGTTACATATTTTAGTATCATCAACTAGATCTCTGCACACATAATAGACACAAGCTCTGCTTCCTGCAACTCCAGTGTCACTAGTGGCTGATACACTGTTCTGTAATCTGTAATTTGTTAGCAGGTTAAATCTTAGATCCTGCATCCCAGGCCTAGAGGACTTTGATTGCAGTGCGAGGCTACTAACAGCCATGTGCAATCATTGCTACTTGCTCACTCCAAGAGTACATCCCAACTCCAACACACATTCCAACACCAACGGACATCCCAACACCAACACATATCCCAATACAAACACACATCCCAATAAAACATACATTCCAACACCTGCAGACATCTTAATGCCAACACTCATCCCAATGCCAACAGGCATCCCAACACCAACAGAAATCCCAATTCTATACGGACATCCCAATGCCAACAAGCATCACAGCACTAACAGACATCCCAGCACTAACATACATCCTAAAGCCAACATAAATCCAAACCCCAACACACAACTGAAAAGCCAACATAACTCCCAATGCCAACACACATCCCAACACTCATCTCAACGCTAATGGACAACCAAACATCAACACACAGATCCCAATGCTAAAGAACTTTCCAAAACAAACAAAAAATCCCAGTGCCAACACACAAAACTAACAGTGATTTCCATGGAAATTTCGAACCCCTGAAACAATCTGGGTGATCTTTGGATATGTTGGTCCCCCAGATTGGGGCTATCAGGGGATATAACTTTTGTGGGGTTTCCTTGGGTTTTAATGGTACTTTCGGGGTACTGCTAATATGTATATTCTCTGGGTCTGGAGATAATTGAGTTAATGCAGTTCATGACTTAATTATCTCCCAGGCACAAGAGAGGGATTGTCTTATTCTGTATGGGAGTGTCCTGGATCTGAGAGCCATTGTAATGGTGTAATTGTTTCTACAGTGGATTACTCTCAGGTCCAGAGGGGAGTGCCCCTTGCATAGGGATTGACATAAAAGGCTGTGTGTGTGGCTGCATTAAAACCAGTTATCTCACAGCATAGAGCCTCGTCTCATGTTTGTGGGAGAAAGCTCTCTTCTGCTTGGAGTGCTAAATCACTTATAAGAGCTGCTCCTGCTCTGCATTACAGCATCCCTCCCAGAAGGGGGAAAAGAACAGCTCAGATGGCAGAACCTCTCTTCCCATTACGGTGGCCACCACAGTTTAATTAATACTGAAATGTTAGGGTCACTATCCCTGTCAATGAAGTGTTCTGGGTGCCAATTCTGCCCATTCTGCAGGAGAGCAATGCTTTCATTGCAGGATTAAACCGCCTCTAGTACAAACATGACACTATTGCGTTTTAAAGCATTCTTCCTGTTGACTTTGATTCCAATTAAACTGTTAATAGCTCCTGACTGATTCCTCTTCTGCAACTGTCACCAGTCTAATACTATCCTTACCTTTTTGTGTCATTTTACCCCACTCCCTCTAGCATGTAAGCTCATTGAACAGGGCCCTCAACCCCTCTGTTCCTGTGTGTCCAACTTGTCTGGTTACAACTACATGTCTGTTCGTCCACCCATTGTAAAGTGCTGCGGTATTTGATGGCGCTATATAAATATTATAATAATAATAATTCCTCACTGTGTCTTTTATTACCTTTATTAGATTGGCTGTTTCTATATATATATATATATATTAAGGTACATCACAGCCTGGAGGGTTCCTTACAACGAACATTTACAGATTTAAGATTACAGTGTCCCTTTATGTTTTTTTTTTACTTGACATTCACAGGGTTAGTTGTTAAACTGGGAATTTTGAATACACATAATTCATGTATTAGTTAATTACCTCATGTAAGCAAAGCTGAAATTTAAAGGTCTCTGTGAGACTCTATATTGAGGCTAAGCAGGAATTCGATTAATGGCAGCCACAATTGGCCTTGTATGCAGGTCCCCATGCAAGAGGCACTCCCCTCTGGATCTGAGAGTAGACTACAGTACCATACACACGATTACATTGGCTCTCAGGTCCAGGGCACTCCCATACAAAATAGATAAATCCCTCCCCTGTGCCTGAGAGATAATTGAGTCAGGACTGTACTAAACTCAATTATCTCCAGACACAGAAAACATACATTTTTAAAAATACCTTTAAACACACAGCCCCTCCCCCCAAACATTACATCCCCTGATAGCCCCGATCTGGGTGACCAACATATCCAAAAATCATCCAGATCAGTTCAGGGGTTCAGGAATTTTCAGGAAGTCATAATTTGAATGACTGCACACATGGTCCTATGCCCAAAACAGTTCCAGAGAATCAAGTTCTTACCCTGGAGCTTGTTCCCCTTGTTCGTGGGAACGTTTCAACCGAACAGTGCCCTTCTAAGTTCTGTAGAACCGAACGCAAGCGATCCTAGAAGTTCAGCAGTGTTCGGGTCAGTGTCAGTGTCAGTATCTGAAAATCGTTCCATGAACTCAATGACCAAACACCGCTGCCTGCGTTCGCGGGAACAAGATGGCTGCCACCTCATGGTCGTTCATGGGAACAGCGGCACCTAGACGAACACTTAGAACACTGCTGTGGTAAGAGTCATGAACTGCCAATTAGGCTTAGCTCCTGGGTGGTCTCTGGTGCGTAAGGCTGTTCGGGAACCGAACCATATACTCCCAATAGCATGAACAGAGAGTTTTTAAAGTATTTTATACAGGTTTATTGCAGGGGGAAATAGTCCTGGGACAGGAGGCTGGCCAGCAGGCTTCTCCAAAAGCCCGTGGCGAGGTTCTGTTTGCCACAATAAATAATAGGGAATATTTCTGCAATATGTCTCCAGTCACAGCTCGGTTGTTTTAGTTTGTGAATTTTTGTGAATTTAGAACTGAAATGCAAAATTCAGCTTACTGAGTAAACTTTAACTGACAAAGACCTAATAGGAAACATTTGGAAAACCCAGCAATCTCTCTACAGCTATAGTATTGCAGGTCCTGGTTTACTGAATAACGCCACAATATACAGTTTGTTGGATGTCCTGTCTCTGCATCACAGAGTGGACGTAGTGTTAACTTTCAATCTAATGGAACCTTGTAAACAAGTCATTTTCAATTCATTTATTAATTTATTACTTTTTGTAAAACATACAGAGTGTCATATAAAATATACATTTACAGCATTTTATATATAATAATCTATTTTACATAAAAACTCAAAACATTATTTAAACATTATTTAAAGTGCATAGTAACTTGTCCAAATTGATCGATTTGAGAAACAGACCTTTTTAACTGAGCAGCTGCAGTTATATACAAAAGATAACTGAAGTAGATCCCATGGTCGTATTCTGAAAACGACCACTGATCATCATTGAGCTATTATTCACATTCTAATCATCCAGGATCTGATGTATTCTCTGTAGTCGGCAGCCAGTATGATATAATGTGTATTGCCACTTTTGTAACACTGTTATACTGTGACTGGCCAAACATGGGAATGATCTCTGATTTATTTTTCAAAAGATTTGCTTCACCAGGATCTGATGGCTGCATTTTCTGCAAAAGACTTCTCTACCTGTTAATGTTTATTGAACTGAGGAGGAATAGTAAAACGAGCAATCTTAGCCTATGGTTTATTACCTTTGTGATAAAGTGAAGGCAGATAGGCCTTTTAACCCCAGGGGGAGTATGTGTAGTTTGTGTTTTGCACAACACAACGCATTGTTTAGTTATGGGCCCCTGGGGTGGAGCATTTGGAGAGAAGGGTGGGCCAATGCTCCACTCCACAGTTTAGTGGTTTTCTGGGGAGACATAGATCCAGGCCAGGGTTTTTTGGATCGTCTCCAACCCACTGCTCAGCTGCAGTTAATGAGCTATTGCAGTGGAAATAAACTCCTCCCTGCTAGGCAGGTGGAGGAGAGGGATTGCTGGCTTCCTCCCAGGAAGCAGGTAGGAGAGAGAGGCTGTTCTCTCCAGATAGTCAAGGAGACTAGGCACTTGGAGTGCAGAAAGGAAGCAGTCGGGGCAAGGCTGGCTTGGAGCACTGGGAGTGCAGAAAGGAAAGCAGTCAGGGCAAGGCTGGCTTGGAGCACTGGGAGTGCAGAAAGGAAAGCTACAGGCTAGTTAGCAGGGTGTTGCTTTCTAATAAGGTTGGTGCAATATTGTTTTGTTTAGTTTAACCCTGAGAGATAGGGAACCTAAAGTGAGTCAGTGCTCAGACGAGCTAGGTTTTTGTTTAAAGGGAAACCTGTTATATTTATGTTTTTTTCATTTACTGCTGTATCCTGTGTGGATTTGCAAATAAAGTGCCTGGAATGAAATTGCATTGAAAGACTGTGCATGTTTTTGCCCTAGAGGACCGTGCTACCTGCAAACAAGGATCACACCTTCCTCAGACATTCTCCAACTTCAGAGACAGCCACAATGATATATTAACAAGAAGAATGGGAAAGCCCCATAGTAATAAAACTCACAGCATGTCCTGTGAGTCTGAATGTATCACAGGGCTCTATTGCAATAAAACTCACAGCAATGCACAGTGCTAACGAGTATATCACAGTTACAAAAGGATTTGTGTAAATCCAGTAAATCTGTTAATTATCATGGCAAATTAATTGGTTAATATAAATATTTATGAACATGAAGTTAATTAACCTAATCCTTCCTATAATGTCCAGCTCACTAGCCATTACGTTTGTCTGCTCCCTCTAAGCCAAGTAACGTATTTCTAAATCCTGCCAATTGTAGGAATCTACTGAAGGTTTTTGTTGGCATTTCATGCAGAGTCCGAGTAATCCTCAGATGTAACAATTAATTGGTGACCTTGCAGAGCACCCCCAAAAACACACAGGTCACAAAGCAAATCCTAACAAGAAGTCAACTAATGCGGAAGAATGGACAGACAGACGCAGATGAAATCGGTTTTGGAGACCTGGAACAGCTGATGTCAGACCTTCCTTCTATTGATCTTTATTGAGAATCCTAGAACTGTCTTGAAATCCTTTGGCATTTATGTCTCTGTATTTAAACTGTAAATTGTGCCCGCTGGATAATGCCAGTCATAGTTACAGCTATGGAGCCATCTCCAAATCGCCATCGACTACAATATCATCAATACATTGTAATACATTGAAACCCTGAGCATAAATATAACTATAATTCACATATACACTTAACAGGTGTAACAAAACCTATAAACAATTACAATGAACATATATATATAAAACTCATACATTAGTACGTACTTGTATAGACAGAGAAACTCTGTACGGGACCCATGTTACATCAACACACATAACACAATGGCTGGAAAATAGATTTCCAAAGGTATTGGCCAGAGAACCAGATTATATCACAATGCACAGCATAGAACACTTGCAAAAACAGAATTTTCAATGATATAATTCTTCAATGTAGGGTAATAGCTGCTTGATCCAAGGAGATATCTGACTTCTATTTTGGGGTCAAGAAGAAATGTTTTTCCTAGTTTGTTGCAAAATTGGAAGTTCTTCAAACTGTTTTTTTTTTTGCCTTCTTTTGGATCAACAGCAAAAAACAAATGTGACGAAGGCTGAACTTGATGGACACAAGTCTCTTTTCAGCTATGTAACTATGTAACACAGCTATACATCACATTACTTCAATAAACATTCTATACATTCCATAGAATTCTATATTCTTTACGCTCTTCTTGGACAGTTACTGTTTACAGCTGGGATGACCATGGTGTCGCTCACGCTAAGAATGATATTGCAGAATGTCGATGCTCATGGCTGGTAAATCCATTCAAGGAGATCAATTTCTTCTTCTACCCAGTCACACTAAGATATTCTTCATATCTCTAGGAATAAAAATTTTAAATAAAATAAATTAAAATTTTCAGCTTCAAGCACTCATTTAGTTTATTGTATCATCTAATCACAGCCTCAATTTACTATTTTTGGATAAACCTTCTAAAAAACATATATATCGAAATATCTACAAAAATACCGGCACTCCAAGGTTTTCATTCAGGTCGGTTCTTTATTTGACAAATTCCAGCAATTCAATGTTTCAGTCCCTCTAGAGACATCACAATGTCCTGATGAAAGTTCCCTAGAGGGACTGAAACATTGACTTGCTTGAATTTGTCAAATAAAGAACCGACCTGAATGAAAACATCCCACATCTTCTAAAGCAATACCTTGGACACGGATCTCAATTGTTGCAGTCACACCCTTCTGCGTGAAAGACACCGGCTTCTTTACCACGAATGACTGTCAGCGTCACCTATCAAGAAGGAAATGTACAAACTTTAAAAAACAAACTTTACTTTTCAAACTCAAAAGTTAAATGGATAAAAAATTTCAATAAATTGAAAGTTCAATATGTCTTATTACCTTCAAATATTTTTGTTGTTGTTTGATATGAAACTTATTGAAAAATTCATGAATATTCCATGTAAAATCTTTTACTTGCCATAAAATGTAACCTTAGAGTTCTTAACAGCAAGACATTGAAATGTTAGTCTAGTATAATTGTGAATCTCCAACCTAACTCGTTTCGCACAAAACGTGTGTCAATAATACAAAGTATGAAGGTTGTGCGTATGATATAATGTTGTATTAAAGTATTAGGGTAATAAATACTTTTAATTCTAAAAAAAATTATAACACTTGGAGATTCATTTCGTGCCAACAGATAAAAACTTTGAAAATTAGAGATGTCTTTTCACCTTCAAATATTTTTGGTGTTAGAGTTCTCTTAACTTGATTTAATATTTTTGGATAAACTTTAAAAATTATTTGATATTCTGAAAAATATTTTAATATCTGGATATATCTATTGATATTTGGTATCATTTTTATGTATGAGATAGATATATACATTTTGAACGAAAGCATTTAAAAAATGCATCCAAAATAATTAAATATTTGAAAAGTTTATCCAACAATATTAAATAAAAGCATATGACTATTGAACAATTCATTGAATATTTTATAGATATTTTTTAATTATTCAATATATTTCCATACAAGTTTTTAGTTTTCAAAAATTTTTACATTAGTGGTCTGTTGTTAACAGCAAGCCATGGTGGGTCGACAATTAACTTTGAAATGTTAGTCTAGTATGATTGTGTTGGGACAAATCGACACCCAGAATTTTGGATGAAGTTTCACATAACATTTGTGTCAATAATGTAAAGTATGAAAGTTGTGTGAATGATGTTGTAATAATAATTAGACTTGGAGATCTGGTTGTTGCAGTTTGGCCAAATTTCAGGCGTTTGGGTGATCGGTCAAATTCTTGAAATCTAAGCTGAAATGTACCCGAATCATGGATTAACAGAACCTCACAATGCTGAACATGTTTGGTTCAGAGTTCTGATTCTGGCCAGGTTGCCAAAAATGAGCCGATTGATGGGGGCAATCACTAAATATTCACTTTATTCACAGACCAAGTTAAAAAGTAACCAATCAAGGAAAATAAGGAGAAGCAAAAACTCCTCCTCTTTTGCCCTCTTTTGGTTACTTTCTAACTTTATCTATGAACCTAATCACGTGTAAATGTTACTATTAATGTACTGTAAAATATATACAGAATATTTCTATTTTTGTATTATGGATATATTTTGCAAGTACCCTGTTTGGCCTATTTTTGTTCCCTTTTTTGCTCCACTGATTCGGTTTGGGAATCTCGGTCAGACACTTGGCCAAAATGGTGCCATCCTGAAAATTCTAAATTTTCAGAAAATGTAGACCACCCTAGCTCATCGTGCACAACACTAAAACAATCATAAAACTTAAATGTTAAGTTTGGATTCCCGGTGACCTCCTATATTTCAAAGCTTACTAATATAAATAGATATACAGTGATTATAAGATAATAGCGTCACATTGACATACCCAGTGACCTGTGCTAACACACAGCAGCTTCTGAACGTCCTTCTATTGGCCTTGTGTGAGTGTGTAATATATATAATGTAAATAGATAAAAACGTTGCCGTTCCTTATTTAGCACTTACCTCTTTCCCTGTACAGTTGTTCAACATTTGGGAGAACAATTCGAAAGTCTCCAATGTGATATCGTTCATTGTGTCTATGTCATCCCCGTGATGAAACAGACACCCAATTTCTTTGGGGCCCGTCCACTGGGATACACTAAAGGAAAATGGATAATTTACAATGTAGTTATTACAATTTAATGAACACCAAATAAAGAGAAAACGACGTATTTTTCGATTATCATAATATATTAATCGTTTATGAACACTGAATAGTATATATATTCCTTCACGTTAGATGTAGTGACCATGTTTAATAATGTTGTTTAGTAGATATGTCCTACAATGCATTTAAATACATTCCGGTTTCTATAACTGGACGCATATCTTGTGATTCATTTAGTCTGTCACTCAGAAGAAGCGCAAAGACCGGTGGCTTGTACTTTATTATTATACTTTATTCGGCTTTAAGGAGGTGGTCCACTCTTCACAGCTTATTGCTGGATTTTAATGAACTTGTTTACACTGGGATGAGGGATTCCCTGGGCTTTTTACAGCTCGCGCTCATTATTTGCGGCACAAGGTGCTCAGTTTCTCAGCCAGGCCAAGGACATTGGTGATTTTTCCCACACTGGTGTATAATTGTGTATAATTGGTGTATAATTGGTGTATAATTGTCCAGGTAGGTTTGCGTCCTAGCTCTCATCCACCCAGGGCCGGCGCTACCATAAAGTAGCATAGGAGCTGGCCTTAGGGCACACCGGCCCAGGGGAAGCAGGATTTGCATGACCCTCCTGTTGGAAGCGCTCACTGTTAGGACCAAACTGCTCTTGTAGACATGCTACACAGGAGGAAGACATTTGGTGGCAGCTGAGGGAATGTGACTCGTGTAAGGGGGCTGGGGGTAATAAGGCACATGGGAGCGGGCTAAGGTCAATGAGACACATAAAGACGTGCTGGGGTCAGTGACACACATGGGGGGCTGGGGGCAATGAAACATATAAGGGGGTGGGGGATAGAAAAAGCAACATAGATGGTATGGGGGAGAAAGAGACAAGGTACTGGGGGAAGAGATACACAAATGGGGCTGTGGAGAGAAAATGTATTTTAGCCTGTGTAGCCAAACATCCTTGCACCGACCCTGCATCCACCTGTAGCTGCCGATTTTCCTGCGGTGAATATTATTTGTAGTGCTTGCTACTTTTAGTTCGGTTTGTTGCTCTGATTTGTTATTATAATGATCGCACGGATACCGTTTTACAATGTTTTGATTTAGTGGCCACTATCTTCGTGCAATACATGTTTCTATTATTGAAAATCGTATCTATCTTTATTTTTATCTTTCTTTTGTTACTTCCAGTAGTGCCCCCCTGACATTCAATTTAAGAACGTGTGACAGGCCGTCTGGACGCCAGGTTGGCAGGAGAAATCATGAGAAAGTTGTACGGCCACGTAGTTTGTTTATCATTTTATATGCCCTTGTTGTTACATCTGCACTATAATTTTATATTTTATATTTTAAGGTTTTTATAGAAATATTCATGGAATTACAGCTGATATAAAACAGACTGATATTATTATAGAAAGCATCTGCAAATTATGGATTTTAAAATAGAATGAGTTCTAATAATGAATTGTACACTCTTGCACACCAATTTACATTTAAGATTTCACAAAAACTCACGCAGCAATATTTTATATCGGAATCAGGGCAACATGCAGTACCTACCTTATACATTTTCCGATTGTCTCCACCGCTAAATATTTCCGCATGTGTTCGGTTGATACGCTGAGATTTACCGTTTCTATATCTTTTCGCTCACTGAAAGGAAATATTACATTAGTAAATGTATCATTACGAAGTCATGAAAATATAGTTTTTTTCCTGTTTTGGGGCAAATTGGAAATCACTTAAATAGGTTTTGTTTGTTTTGCCTTCATTTGGATCTACAGCACTAAGGAATGGGTTCGAAAATGTCAACTTGATGACCTACTTGCGACTTTCTTCAACCTAAATTACAAAGTAACTATGTAACTGTGTATTAAAAATACAGGATTTATGTCTACAAAATTAGAGGAAAATATCTAGTTATTCATACTTTATGATAAACTATAACTTTACAACCAAAAACAGCTTCTCCTTCCCATAAGTCAGGAATGGCACAACTCATGGGAGATATAGTCCTAGTCCCAAGCCATCTGAGGGTACCACAGTAAGTCTTCCTGTCTCCAATGACCCAAAAACTAGAATACCAGAGTGAACGTCCACTGGAGGAGTCAAACAAGGCGGCTGGATTGGCATGGAGCCTCATGTAAATGCGCACACCTTGAGGGCCTACTGGGCTTTGCCTGCCACCAACCACAAACATTGCACTAGCCTCATGCTCATCGGCTCTACAGGCTCTACATGTTATTTTGACAGACCTTCCCCGGAGTCAGCCCTGCTACTAGGCTCCACCAGTCATGTTCCACCACGAGACGGGCCCACATCCCGGCCTTGAATCTATTTCAAGATCAAGTGACTGCCTGATGTGCCACTTGCACATCAGGGACGAGCACATCATGGATGTTATATGAGTGATGCACATAGAATGAGCACAAAAAAACAGATCCAGAACTCTAAATACTAATCATGACCGAGCTCGTCCAATGATGATTCAATTTCCAGAACAAGGAGGAAATTCGGTCAGCTTACAGCTGCTTTGATGTACAGGGACTCATACATTTTGATATTCCTAGACTATTCTGCCACACTAACTAAAAAAGGCAAATCATTTATTTCTATTTATACAAAGTTGACACTCAAACTCAAAGTTGGCAGCATTTGTGAATAGTATCCAAATATACATAGCCAATTCCCGATTTTTTGGATTACTGGTTATTACCCCCCACTGCAAACTTATCCATATGGTCCTGACTGTACTTGGGAAATCAGTTTAACGTGACAGGACTGAAGTGGAGGCCCCAACCATACCACCATTGAAAGCCATACTATCCTATTCTTTTAGAAGTAATGTCACAAAAGGACAACAAAGCAAAACAGTCTCCAAACCTGGTGAACATATATTAATTGCATTGGTGATACAAGAGATATAAAAAAGGGATATAAAAAACACAAGGGATGTTAAAAATAAAAATAAAAAATAAAACACAATTTGAAATTTGGTGCAAAGTTCACCAATTCAGTAACTGACAACACTTGGATATTTTGCCTCACTAGTGACCGTTTAAGTTAAAGAAATCATGTTTTATAAATGAGGCTGTCATTTGACTTGCAACCTTAATATGTGTCAATAATTCTTATTGAAACACACTGTCTCAATAAAAAACTGATGAATAAAATACCAAGAAAGAGTATCAGTTGTTTTATTGTATAAAATAATAATTTTTTAAAAGTTAAATATCAAGCTTGGTAACATTCTAACAGACAAGCTGTTATTACTTTCAGAAAATATCTCAATTAAATATACTCACAAATGCATTTTTAAAAGGTCCATCCTTTCGAGTTTGCAAACATTTCGTTTTTCACAATTTGCAGGTGTAGTTTTCATTTCTTTCACTTCTGGTTCACTTTCATCCTGAGTTTCACAGCTGAAACATTAAAATGAAACATTTTACATTTTCCGTCATTCCGGATGAAGAGTCAACATTTTTCTTCCTCAGATACTTTTCTATTGTTGTCTCTCAGTTTTCTAGGAACTCTATCTGGTGTGTCTGAGTTTCTCAAACGAATCAGCGATAAAACGCACAGTAACTCGACTATTTAAATTCTCCTATAATTAATGTGTTTTGGTTTTAAATAAAGCTTTAAGTTAGATAAATGGTTATTAGCTGGTCATTATGTCGCTTGGAATGTTCTGAGCTAGTCCCGCCCCCGAGCAACCCTCCAGCCACACCGTGTACAATGGTCTTTAAAGAGTTATGGTAGCATATCCCATAGAAAATCATAATAACATCTCCTAATGGGCCACTTAATTTCTACCCTTTTTACAAAATTTGTAACAAAAAAGGATAAACAAAAAGTAATAAAAAAGCACATCTTTATAAACATTCTTCCGTTGTCTTGTTTGCCCTCACACATATTGTTAATAAATGTTTAATTCTTACAAAGAGTTCATCTTTTCGTAGACATTTTCGTCATCTGAGTCACAGTCACTGGACTGATTGCTGCTTTCATTTATGTTGGCAGAGTCATCTGAAACGTAACCGGGCTGTGGGGAAAACAACAAAGTAATGATCTGGGTTATCTTATAAAATTGTATAATCTATTATATTTCTAATTTGGTTTCATAAGATTGTTTGACTTTTTACTTTAAGGTCAATCTGAGGTTCAGAAATAGAATGCAGGAATCACGAGGGGTGGGTGACAGTGAGAGAGTAGGAGGAGTCAGGATGGGGGACAATGAGATTAAAAAAGGGGGGTGTCAGGATGGAGTCAAGAAAAACAACATGAAATACATTATGGGGTAAGAATTGACACTTGGATAGAATAAGAGTGAATAACACTTATACCACAAAGATTAAAGGGGGTATCAGGATGGGGAACAGTGAGAGAGAAGGGGAGCCACGATGGGGGCAGTGAGAGAGAAGGGGGAGTCAGGATGGGGGACAGTGAAATAAGGGGGGGGGGAGTCAGGAGGGAAGCCTGTGAGAGAGCATGGGGATCTAGGGTGGGGGAAAGTGAGAAAGAAGTGTGAGTCAGCATTGGGGACAGATAGAGAGAAGGAGGAGCTAGGATGGGGGACAGTGAAAGAGAAGGGGGAGTCAGCATTGGAGATAGAGAGAGAGAAGGGAGAGTCACGACAGGGACAGTGAGAGAGAAGGGGGATTCGGGATGGGGGAAAGGATGGAGTCAATAAAAACAACAATAAATATAAAATGAGGCAAGCATTGACACTTGGAGTGAATACAAATTATACCACAAATAAAACCACTAATAGTGAGAAGGTATTTTACCTGAAGCGTTGATTGCTGCTGTGGATAATCGGATTTACTCTCGCTGTCACTTCCGATGTCACTATCGAGTCCTGACTGCAGATAAGATTCCCGAGGTGATATTTTACCAGAAGGAGGTGAACGTGGCTGCAAAGATAGAGCTCACTGAAAACACTGATATTGACAACAATGCCCAATGTAACATCAGGAAATACATAATCCATGTATTTATCTTCATTAAAATTCACTGTTGTGCATTTTCTACATCTCAAACAAGACCCTGTGGAAAGTTTTCACAATTCTCCCAGAGTTCCCAGCTTGATATGCAAATGAGCACAGACAGGCATTGTGTTCTCATGAAGCGGACATTTTTTACGCTTTGTGTCTCACTATCATGGTGCTGGTTCTGGTCAGAAGTGGATGTTTTACTGACAGAAAGTGAATTAAGAAATAAATTGGGGCAAGACCAAACATTATAAAACTCTTCACAGGTTTATGCAAACGTACAATTTACTGTTTTGTGTTTTTACGTGGTTTGAAAGGCGTGTGTTAATTATGGGATGTACATAGAGAATGATATCACACGACCTCAATTCTCTGAGAGGATAATGTATGTTTGTTTCATTACTTCCTGGACATCAAGTAAACAGCAGGTGCCAGCAAGCGACCATTAGAGAAAAACATTAAAAAAACTGCTTTTATGAATTATCTGCATCTCTGTCCAATAACATTATCTGATAATTACACTGGCCCCAAAATATCTGCATTATGGCCTTGATTCAATATTTTTGGATAAACCTTTAAGATTATATTTTTCTCAAAATATTTCTGTAAAAAAAATACCATGTATAAAAATATATCAATATATCAAATTTTAGAAATCTTTTTCAAAATATTAAATCATTTCTAAAGCTCAGGGGTGTGGACATTTTTAAAAATAAAGTGCCAAATATAGTGCGGCAATTTCGATTGAAGTGGATCAGAGAAATAAACTTACAGACTGGACTACAAGATCACAAACCTCCAAGAGGATAAGGTAGAACTATTTCTAGCACTATGCACTCTAAGCGTATTTCTTGATTCTTCTAATCCACTTCCACTGAAATTACTGCACTATATTTGGCACTTTATCTCTCTATTGTTGCATATTTCCCACCGTTTGATAATCTCCTAAGGTGCTCAAACCACTCACCGGCCCAGCCCCAGAATTGCTGCTTGCCAATGGCTAAATGGGGAGGGAAAAAAACAATCCCCCCCCAGGAACAAAGACTGTAACTCTTCCAATGGAATTTAAAGCTTAGATTCTCACCAGACAACTGTAATTGGAAATTAAAGGTCTAGTTTTAGTTCTAGTTCGTGGCTTCTAAGAGCAAGCTGCTAGATCTCCACCTCTGTTGGCCAAAGTTGATGCCATATTCTACAATGTCCCTAAAAATGCAGCTCAGGGTAAATCTCCCAATGTCTTGTGTGTTGTTGAATGGCATAGAACCCACAGTTTGCAACACCTGGAGTACCAGAGCCGGCCTGCCCTTTGTTAAATGTTGAGTGCATCGACTAGGTTACCTAGGTAAATACAGGACTCACCAATGGCAGTGTGGTTGTCCCAGTGCATTGTTGCCCACACGCATTCATGCTGGGAAAGTAGGTCATCCCTGGATCTGTGTGAAACCTTTGTCTGTCAAGTGTCTGGACAAAAAACAGCAAAGGTCACAGTTACAAAGTGTCATGACTCTCTTGTGAGTGAAATGTTTTGCATTTTGCATTGTGCATTTTCTACCTTTAAACACAAATGCCTCTCACTACACTATAAAATAAACGGTTTACAAATCTTACTTTAGTCATGACATGTCCTGACTGAGGATGGTTATTAGGGTAAGACATTGGCCTTGGACCCTGTGAGAGAAAAATAAATGTATCAGATACAAAAGAAATGTTAACTTTTTTTTTGTGAGGTTGAATAAGTGATGCACAGGGTCACATCTTTTACTGAGAGATAGATTGGTACCAACAGAATTACTAACATAACAGAACTGTAAGATTTCATATACAAAACCTTCAATATTTATTTTTCAAACTGGGAACTGGGCTAAATGTGAATGAATGTTTCTCTGCACTTGCCCAATAGTTTGTCAGTCATCACTTAATTCAGCTCCAATTTATGATCCAAACACTGAACCCCAACAGTTCCAGGCATCGAACCCCGGGAGAACAACATGTTCTCATGTTCTAAACATTAAACCCAAGGGGAACATCCTCTCTATGTTCTCATGTTCTAAACATTGAACCCCAGAGGAACATCCTCTCTATGTTCTCATGTTCTAAACATTAAACCCCAGAGGAACATCCTCTCTATGTTCTCATGTTCTAAACATTGAACCCCAGAGGAACATCCTCTCTATGTTCTCATGTTCTAAACATTAAACCCCAGGGGAACATCCTCTCTATGTTCTCATGTTCTAAACATTAAACCCAAGGGGGACATCCTCTCTATGTTCTCATGTTCTAAACATTAAACCCAAGGGGGACATCCTCTCTATGTTCTCATGTTCTAAACATTGAACCCCAGAGGAACATCCTCTCTATGTTCTCATGTTCTAAACATTAAACCCCAGAGGAACATCCTCTCTATGTTCTCATGTTCTAAACATTGAACCCCAGAGGAACATCCTCTCTATGTTCTCATGTTCTAAACATTAAACCCCAGGGGAACATCCTCTCTATGTTCTCATGTTCTAAACATTAAACCCCAGGGGAACATCCTCTCTATGTTCTCATGTTCTAAACATTGAACCCCAGAGGAACATCCTCTCTATGTTCTCATGTTCTAAACATTGAAACTCAGAGAAACATCCTCTCTATGTTCTCATGTTCTAAACATTAAACCCCAGGGGAACATCCTCTCTATGTTCTCATGTTCTAAACATTAAACCCCAGAGGAACATCCTCTCTATGTTCTCATGTTCTAAACAATGAACCCCAGAGGAACATCCTCTCTATGTTCTCATGTTCTAAACATTGAACCCCAGGGGAACATCCTCTCTATGTTCTCATGTTCTAAACATTAAACCCCAGAGGAACATCCTATCTATGTTCTCATGTTCTAAACATTAAACCCCAGAGGAACATCCTCTCTATGTTCTCATGTTCTAAACATTAAACCCCAGGGGAACATCCTCTCTATGTTCTCATGTTCTAAACATTAAACCCCAGAGGAACATCCTATCTATGTTCTCATGTTCTAAACATTGAACCCCAGAGGAACATCCTCTCTATGTTCTCATGTTCTAAACATTAAACCCCAGAGGAACATCCTCTCTATGTTCTCATGTTCTAAACATTAAACCCCAGAGGAACATCCTCTCTATGTTCTCATGTTCTAAACATTGAACCCCTGAGGAACATCCTCTCTATGTTCTCATGTTCTAAACATTGAACCCCAGAGGAACATCCTCTCTATGTTCTCATGTTCGAAACATTGAACCCCAGGGGAATATCCTTTCTATGTTCTCATGTACTAAACATTGAATCCCAGGGAACATCCTCCCTATGCTCTTATATTCTAAACATTGAACCCCAGAGGAACATCATCTCTATGTTATCATGTTCTAAACATTGAACCCCAGGGAAACATTATCTCTATCTTCTCATGATCTAAACATTGAACCCCAGAGGAACATCCTCTCTATGCTCTCATGTTCTAAACATTGAACCCCAGAGGAACATCCTATCTATGTTCTCATGTTCTAAACATTGACCCCCAGAGGAACATCCTATCTATGTTCTCGGACTAGAATAAAGATTGCTAAAGGGATCCTTACCGTTTCAGGCACGCCGTAAGGTACTGGGGGCAAGCCGTAAGGAAATGGGTTCATAATTGCAGGTCCATCTCTATCCTGGAAGTAAAAATTAATAATATTAAGTACGCACTAATCATAGCTTGTTTTTTTACACAGACACCAATAAAAAACTACAATTCGCATAGACAAAAGGACCGCAACATTGGTCTGAAATCTTCAGGTTCCTTAACCCTTCTCTGTGCACGTTCCATTCAGATTACCTGACTGCACTTAGTGCGATATTATTTGATATAATTTAATGTCAGATCTGAGCTAGGATGCCTGTTATCAAAGCCATCTGCTATATGGATTGCATTATTAACAGGGGTTGCTGATAGTTGACTCACTCACTATATATCATGTTATTTTGTATTACACATTACGTATAATATTGTATATATAATACAGCACTGTGTAATATATAGAATTATATAAAAGACGTATAAGGCTTTTGAAATTCTGTGTAAAGATAAGCATCTTAGTATTTAATTGTTAGTATTACTTTATACAATATCTTACTAGTAACTAGCTAATATTAATCTATACAGGATATAACTGATTACTAGTTAGTATTGTATTATAAATTATCTAACTAGTTACTACTTAGTGTTATTTATACAATATTTTACAAGTAACTAGTTAATGTAACTTTACAGTATGTTAATAATTAGTACTATGTCATAACATTTAAAACTAGTTACTAGTCAGTATTTCTCTATACAATATTTTAATAGTTACTGGTTAGCATTACTTTTTACTATTTCTTACTAGTTATCAGTCAGTGTTATGTTATTAAGTATTTGACCAGTTACTAGTTAGTAATATGTGATACCAACTAGCATTACATTAACCATTATAACATATCTTACTAGTTAGTATCATGTTATAAAGCATAGTACTAATTAGTATCTCCATATAAATTATTTTACTTGTTAATATCACATTAAGCATCTTACTAGTTATTATTATATTGTAAAATACTTTGCTAGCTAGTTAGTAGTACATTGTAAATTATCTTACTAATTAGTATCACATTATAAAATATCCTACTAGTAAATTGTAGTACATTACAAAATATCCTACTAGTTAGTAGTACATTATAAAATATCCTACTAGTTAGTATCACATTATAAAATATCCTACTAGTAAATTGTAGTACATTATAAAATATCCTACTAGTTAATATCACATTATAAAATATCCTACTAGTGAGTAGTACATTAAAATATATCCTGCTAGTTAGTATCACATCATAAAATATCCTACTAGTGAATAGTATATTAAAATATATCCTACTAGTTAGTATCACATTATAAAATATCCTACTAGTTAGTAGTACATTAAAATATATCCTACTAGTTAGTATCACATTATAAAATATCCTACTAGTTAGTAGTACATTATAAAATATCCTACTAGTTAGTATTACATCATAAAATATCCTACTAGTGAATAGTATATTAAAATATATCCTGCTAGTTAGTATCACATCATAAAATATCCTACTAGTGAATAGTATATTAAAATATATCCTGCTAGTTAGTATCACATTATAAAATATCCTACTAGTTAGTATCACATTATAAAATTTCTTACTAGTTAGTAGTACATTATAAAATATCCTACTAGTTAGTAGTACATTAAAATATATCCTGCTAGTTAGTATCACATCATAAAATATCCTACTAGTGAATAGTATATTAAAATATATCCTACTAGTTAGTATCACATTATAAAATATCCTACTAGTTAGTAGTACATTATAAAATATCCTACTAGCTAGTATCATATTAGAAAATATCCTACTAGTAAAATATAAATAATATATCCTACTAGTTAGTATCACATTATAAAATATCCTACTAGTTAGTAGTACATTAAAATATATCCTACTAGTTAGTATCACATTATAAAATATCTTACTAGTTAGTATCACATTATAAAATTTCTTACTAGTTAGTAGTACATTATAAAATATCCTACTAGTTAGTATCACATTATAAAATATCCTACTAGTTAGTAGTGCATTATAAAATATCCTACTAGTTAGTAGTACATTATAAAATATCCTACTAGTTAGTATCACATTATAAAATATCCTACCAGTTAGTATCACATTATAAAATATCCTACCAGTTAGTAGTACATTATAAAATATCCTACTAGTTAGTATCACATCATAAAATATCCTACTAGTGAATAGTATATTAAAATATATCCTGCTAGTTAGTATCACATCATAAAATATCCTACTAGTGAATAGTATATTAAAATATATCCTGCTAGTTAGTATCACATTATAAAATATCCTACTAGTTAGTATCACATTATAAAATTTCTTACTAGTTAGTAGTACATTATAAAATATCCTACTAGTTAGTAGTACATTAAAATATATCCTGCTAGTTAGTATCACATCATAAAATATCCTACTAGTGAATAGTATATTAAAATATATCCTACTAGTTAGTATCACATTATAAAATATCCTACTAGTTAGTAGTACATTATAAAATATCCTACTAGCTAGTATCATATTAGAAAATATCCTACTAGTAAAATATAAATAATATATCCTACTAGTTAGTATCACATTATAAAATATCCTACTAGTTAGTAGTACATTAAAATATATCCTACTAGTTAGTATCACATTATAAAATATCTTACTAGTTAGTATCACATTATAAAATTTCTTACTAGTTAGTAGTACATTATAAAATATCCTACTAGTTAGTATCACATTATAAAATATCCTACTAGTTAGTAGTGCATTATAAAATATCCTACTAGTTAGTAGTACATTATAAAATATCCTACTAGTTAGTATCACATTATAAAATATCCTACCAGTTAGTAGTACATTATAAAATATCCTACCAGTTAGTAGTACATTATAAAATATCCTACCAGTTAGTAGTACATTATAAAATATCCTACCAGTTAGTATCACATTATAAAATATCCTACCAGTTAGTAGTACATTATAAAATATCCTACTAGTTAGTATCACATTATAAAATATCTTACTAGTTAGTATCACATTATAAAATTTCTTACTAGTTAGTAGTACATTATAAAATATCCTACTAGTTAGTATCACATTATAAAATTTCTTACTAGTTAGTAGTACATTATAAAATATCCTACTAGTTAGTAGTACATTATAAAATATCCTACTAGTTAGTATCACATTATAAAATATCTTACTAGTTAGTATCACATTATAAAATATCTTACTAGTTAGTATCACATTATAAAATTTCTTACTAGTTAGTAGTACATTATAAAATATCCTACTAGTTAGTATCACATTATAAAATATCCTACTAGTTAGTAGTGCATTATAAAATATCCTACTAGTTAGTAGTACATTATAAAATATCCTACCAGTTAGTAGTACATTATAAAATATCCTACCAGTTAGTAGTACATTATAAAATATCCTACCAGTTAGTATCACATTATAAAATATCCTACCAGTTAGTAGTACATTATAAAATATCCTACTAGTTAGTATCACATTATAAAATATCTTACTAGTTAGTATCACATTATAAAATTTCTTACTAGTTAGTAGTACATTATAAAATATCCTACTAGTTAGTATCACATTATAAAATTTCTTACTAGTTAGTAGTACATTATAAAATATCCTACTAGTTAGTAGTACATTATAAAATATCCTACTAGTTACTATCACATTATAAAATATCCTACCAGTTAGTAGTACATTATAAAATATCTTACTGTGCTTCCGTTGATCTCCGCCCACGCCTGGCTAATGCAAAGAAACCATTCTTCAATCTCTCTCCTTGGGGGGAGGGGGGATGAGAGGTGTAGGCAAATTATTTTACTTGTTACTATCACATTAAGCATCTTACTAGTTATTATTATATTTGGTACTGGTACATACTGTAATATTTCATTAAAACAGACACACATATTTATTCAGCTACATTGGGATCATGTCAAATATTAAAGATTTTGATGATAAATTTGCATACATTTTATAAAAATGGTAAGAAACAGTTTGTTTTGTTTTGTGTTTACAATGGCTTTTAAATTGTGTTATGTTTATGCTGATCTGAGCGTGCACACAAGGCGAGCATACACATCTTCCATGAGAAACATTATTACTGCTAAATGTTTCGATTTATTATTACTGCTAAATGTTTCGAATTATTATTACTGCTAAATGTTTCGATTTATTATTACTGCTAAACGATTAGACTGACAGTTGTACTCTGCAAAAATCTCTCTATAAAAATCACTCCTAGTATTGTACTATGTGACCAACAGCCAGTAAATAAGCAAAGACACAGATGAAGAAAATTATATTCATAAAAATGATGTTTAACTTACTTGTTTTCATCAATGAGATAGAAATCACGTTTTCCGTACTTTATATATATTACATTTTCTGCCTCGAAGTTTCTGAACATGTCCAAAACGACCCTAATCTTCTCCAAAACATGTAATCCTTTTTCAACAGCTTTGACTCTGCAGAACAAACAGAAATGAATGTACATGTAATTAGCAAATAATACGAGAGAAGAAATCACTGGTTCTATAAAACCAACGTGATCCTAAATTTAATATTTAACGATAAGTTTTTTTTTAGGATCACACATGTTAGAACAACTTTTCAAATGATTTATCTACCAAAATCCACATAGACTTCAATGGTGGCTTCTGTAGATAAAACCTTTGAAACAAGTTGGCGAATTTACTCTTATTTTTGACTGGGCTATATCTACCCTAACACAGAGTAATGGTTTCTATTTACAGATTGTTCATATATAATATCAAACCATAATATCGAAAAAAAATATGCAACGCTACTCAAGAATTCTGAAAATAGACACATTCTACGGGAATATAGATTGTGCGTCAGATAAGGATCAACCGGTTCATGCAGTAGAACTGTAAGGAACCACAGAATGATTTGTGAAGTTGGTCTTTCGAACACTCTTAACAACTTGAATAGAGAGGTAGGTGGAATATCAGTACTTATAATTATAGTATGTGGCTGCTGAAACTTCCCAAAAACCAGAGTCTCTTCTTTTCTGGTGGTACGATGGGTGTAAATAGTAGGATCAGGGAGCAGCGCCTGTGATGGAATTCCCATGCTCAGAGACATATGGAGGAGGGAAGGAAGAAGACACGGATATAGTGTAGTATGTTATATTAAGATCCTAACATACTACACTATATCCGTGTCTTCTTCCTTCCCTCCTCCATATGTCTCTGAGCATGGGAATTCCATCACAGGCGCTGCTCCCTGATCCTACTATTTAAACTGTTAGCAACCTTCCAAACATTTCTCGGGTCTTTACCTATTATCCCTATTTAAAACCGTAATGCTTTTAACCCCTTAAGGACACATGACATGTGTGACATGTCATGATTCCCTTTTTATTCCAGAAGTTTGGTCCTTAAGGGGTTAAAGTTTAAAATAATGACTTTTCTAAGTATAGAGTTGATTGTACATTGCTGATATAACAGGATGCAATAAACGACTTATAGTATAGAACTGATACATACTCAGAAAGGTTAATACATCCTTTTTCCTTATCTGAAGCATTGGAAACGTAGTAGTTTAGAAGGTATTTATTATCCAATGTTTTACACAGTTTGAAGATCCGGGATTTCCATGACGACTACAGAAACAAAATAAAATATTCAAATGAACACATTATTTTCAAGCTTTCTACTAGGTCAGTAAACGTAAAATAAATTGCTATGAAATTTAATAGTTTTAGTTTTTTTGTACATTTTACTTTTTACATTTTACTTACTAAGGTTTTTATTTGATAGAAAGCATGAAAAACTATGGGGAAAAAAAGAAATAAGGCCATTGGATGTTAAAGTAATATTTTAGCTGGATTCTTGAATAAAGTTAGATTTGAGATCAGGGTCAGTGACCCGTAAAAGCGAAGGTTTGATTAAAACTTTTTACGATGTTTACTACGCCACAAAGTAACACAATACGGTAAGTTTGTCCTTACAAATGATATCAAATGTAGAATTGACAGTTTGGCAAGGGACATTACCAGATTACGAAACATGCGCAAACCAGGAGACTTAGTCAGCAAACCCCTCTTTAGCACTTCTGCATCTGAAAATGGAAAATGAGAACATATCAAATATGTTATCCTTCGAGGGCAGGGAACAGGTATTTTTTTCGCTGGTGGTCTAAACACTCACCTCTAGAGAATTAGCTCATACATGATATATTTTAGCCCTTTTCTGAAACTTTATTCACATTAAGTTTGTTTTGCTCCCGGGTAACTTTCAATCCAGTCACCCAGACAGGGGGCCAATTACCATTCGGCTAATGCTACCAGGAAGGCAAGCCCATGATGTTAAACTCCCTGCATGTAACTTTGCTATGAAAAACACTGGATACAAATCTCCATTATCATGTACCTATCGTTAGGGAAATAGTTGTATGCAAGAAAAAAACAGTGGCCAATCATCTAAATTAAATGATTTACTCTAACCTGACACTTAGAGTGACACTATCTAATATAACCCTTTAGGAAATAACTTATTATATATGTAGATAGCAGCTGCCCTCTTGTCCTGTCAAAGTTCACCACACACATCATACAGTGTAGAAGAGTTAGCGCAAATTATTACAGTAACGTTAATACTTTCTCATATATCAATAATATTCGATAGTTAATAATCAATAATACCCCATGTCTAATTAGGGGGAAAAGTCCCAATATAGGTGTTTCTAGTCACTTGATGTTTTTATAAGGAAGTTCCAGCACTGAAAGGGTTAAACACCACAAATCCTTCTTTGCACGCTCCAGCACCAGATGGGTTAACCACAGGAAAAAATACTGAAAGGATTAAAAAAAAATTCCTCCTTTGGAGGTTCCAGCACACGATGGGTTAAATGCCAGAAGCCAGTGTCTGAAAATACAAAGAATCCCAGTTGCACATTATAACCTGGTATAAGAGCACTGACATTAACCCCTCTAAGTAGTGCTATCACTTTATTTGGGGGCCCATATAATGCCCCTCATGTAAATCATGTGTATCAATACATATATCGCACCTCCAGTAAAATCAGAGAGACTCCAATTGCGTAATATATAATAATGTGGTGAGTGCCAACGCTCATCTTATTCAGGGACTGTAAGCAGCCGCAGGATACAGATCGTGACATCGATGTATACAAATCCCTTTATTGAAGAAATATACATAAAACGCGCAGGCTCACAGTCGGTTAGTAATCGACACAAACCAAATCTCCCATTCACTGGGATCCGTCTGTCCTTCCTTACTTCCACAAACCTCTGTCGCTAGCACGTGGAGTCCCTCTTATTTTAGTCGCACAGATTACTGGAGGCGCAATGTGTGTATTCAACTGGGATTCTTTGTATTTGCAGACACTGAATTCTGGTATTTAACCCATCGCGTGCAGGAACCTCTAAAGGAGGAATTATTTTTTAACCTGTTCAGTACTTTTTCTGTGTTTAACCTATCTGGTGCTGGAGTATTCAAAGGAGGATTTGTGGTGTTTAACCCTTTCAGGGCTGGAACTTCCTAATAAAAACCTCAAGTGACTAAAAATACCTATAGTGGGACTTTTTCCCTAATTAGACATTGGGTATTATTGATTATTATTGTCTATTATCGAGTATTTTTGTATTATGAGAAAATATTAATGTTACCATAAATTATTTTTTATTAATTATAGCACGTACCTGTACTTGAACTACGCCTTCTTGAAGTCATTTTCAGGCTACTACAAAAAAAAAAACATTTACCATTTCAGCGTTACAGTACACAGAAAACACAATCGAGCTGTATCACATTAACAGAAAAGAAATCACAACTTTTTATTCGGACGATTCAGGAGCACTTTCGTTTTTGCAAAGTAAAGAAAGACATGATAGTAATAATTATAAATCCATTGACTAGTTCTAGAATCACTCATGATGGCTAATCTTGACACCTCTCACAAGTGACCGTAATAATCTTTGTGTTCACTCTGGGCATTGACCCGGGTACACCAACAATGGGAGGTTGGGCCTAGATGGTCTATAACAGGCTTTGTGTAATACATTTCATTTCTTCTGTGTATTTTTCCACGTTGATTGAAATAAGTCTTTTATGTATATTTCTTCTTGGGTAAAAGGCTCGCCATGTAAATATACGTCTATATTAACCAATAATACTAATACGGAATGGATGTTACAGGATAATGGATGTTCAACAGCAGGTGGTAATTGCTGGACTCTTGAAGGGAGAGTTAGTCTCTGCATAGTTAGACAGCCGGACGAGAAGAACAAGCAACTGCAAGGCCTCGTGGTCCTTTATCCCCTATTCTATATAGATATTACCATAATGACGTCAGGGTATAACCCGAGCCATATAAGGACAAGACCCCCAATCCACATTCCAGAGTTCTCTGACAAAGAAAGCCTTGTGACTTATTAATACCATCTGTTACTTATGTCAATCCAGACATCCATTCATAATCAATAGAAACAAAGACCGTGCAATATTCCACATTTTGGCACCAAGAAACATTTAGTGGAAACATATTGGTAGAAGCCGACCTTCGCGAGGAAACCTAATAAATATCTTACACAGAATGGTGTCCGAATCTTCTCAAATTCTTTGCAATAACAAAATTAGTGAAGCCAGAAGGGCCTGGGCTTTAAATCCATTGAACCCCCTAATTAATAATCTTGTCAGAAAGGAATTTGTGGGCTTCGCAAGACCAGACAGGGAGAGTAAGGCCATCTAATAAGGCGGAAATATAAGGCTGAGGGGGAGATTGATAGTATTGGAGTATTGATAGGCAGTATTGGAGTACTGATTGATAGTATTGCAGAATTGATTGACAGTATTGGAGTATAAATTCAAAGTATTGCAGTATTAATTGACAGTTTTGGAGTATTTATTGATAATATTGGATTATTGATCAATAGTATTGGAGTACTGATTGATAGTATTGGAGTTCTAATTGATAGTATTGGAGTTCTAATTGATACTATTGGAGTACTGATTGATAGTATTGGAGTACTGATTGATAGTATTGGAGTACTGATTGATAGTATTGGAGTTCTAATTGAGATATTGGAGTTTTGACTGATAATATTGGAGAAATGCATGTCTGATCTCTTCTGTGATTTTTTTTGTATTCATTAGAACTTGTTTATCTTCAGTTTAAAACACAGAGAATGTTTAATATTTATGTCAGGTTCGATATTAGGGTAATGTTAGAAGAATGATTAATAATTTTAAGTGATGATATAGAACGATAGACAGAAGTCTGTAGACGGTGTATTCTTACAACTGAACGTGCCTCAGATCTCTTAGTATATCACGTTGGGTGTTTTTAGCAACATTCTTTATTTTAACATTTTTGTAAATATGTGAAGAAAAATGAAACAGGGCAAAAAAGGGGAACCAAGCAAAATGAAAAATCTTAACTAGCTTTACAAGAGACGGACCTGCTGGAGGTGTTAATATACTGACAACATATTAATTAACAAATAAATATTAAATAAAGAGTAGCATAACAACATTAAAAAAAAAACTCAAAAAGAGCGTCACTGAGAACACTGCCAGCAGTCGGTTTGTTTAAGAGCTGAGAACAAGGCTCTCAGCGGAGCATGTGAGCTACAGGTACGAAGTGGAAGTCAAGCTGGCCGTTCAGGTTTGTTCACTCAGATAATGTTTAAAGACATGATAATACAGGCGGTGAAAGCAAAAAACATCATTTAACCGGAGCGTCCGAGCTCTGAAAGTTACACCTTTCAACGCATCGTCTACTTGCCATAAACACTCTACTGACTGATACGAAGGGCTTTTAATCTGAGTGACCGGCAAGTGGAAATAATAACTTTGGCTTTTCAATAATCGCAATTTAAGGAGTATTCCCGTGTATCTCCGCAGCCAATAAAATGTCTAGATTTGGAACTGCTCAGATTCATCTGAATTGTCTTCTATCTCTGCTAGTTTAGCCTGCTGAGCTGAATAAATGCAGATCAATATTCATCATAAAGTTGATTCATTCACAAAACCCAAATTCACAGTGAACCGAAGGACAAGTTGCAGAACGGAGGCTGTAATAGCTGTGTTTAGTAAATAATAGCCCGTCACCTTTACTTACATTAGACTGTGGAATCCTGCAGCAGATTGTATTATCACAGAGCGAGCTGGTTGTGTCTGACTGTAGTATACGGAAGAATACAATGCATAGAGCTATTTATACAGTTTTACCTTTTGAAATTTGATCTGGGAGGAATTTCCGTAAGCTTTGCAACTTGCACAGAAAGGGGAATTTCAGTGGAGGTACGGCTTATTTAGGGAAAACCCCCTAACATTCACGATTTGGGGTAAATAACTGCTATTTGTACATTCTATGAAATTGAATTCTCTTCCTCGTGTTTCTGGCTATACTCGATACTTACAGAGTTTAAGTTTTTTTTGTCTAAATAAAACAAGGCTAAGTGTGAGGAAGCAGGTGTTATTATTTATTTGCATATCCAGTTAACCCATACCTCCCAATATTTCAAAAGCACAAAGAGGACGCTTTAATTTAAAGGGTGTGAGTGGGGTTGTTGGGGACTGTTTGAGTGTGATTTGAGGTGTGGTGGGCTGTTCTGAGTGTGAATGGGGATGTGAAGGGCTGTTCTGGGTGTGAGTGGAGGTGTGGGGGCTGTTCTGGGTGTGAGTGGAGGTGTGGCCAGGAGCAAGGCTGTTCTGAGTGTGAATGTATGTTTGGAGGGCTGCTCTGAGTGTGAGTGGGGACGTGAAGGGATGTTCTGGGTGTGAGTGGAGGTGTGGGGGGCTGTTCTGAGTGTGAGTGGGGATGTGACGGGCTGTTCGGGGTGTTAGTGGAGGTGTGGGGGCTGTTCTGAGTGTGAGTGGAGGTGTGGGAGGCTGTTCTGAGTGTGAGTAGGGGTGTGGCCAGGGGCAGAGCTGTTCTTAGAGTTTTTTGATCACTAATAATGATTTATGCAACTAAAATTCAATTTAGAAGAACAATGTATCTTATTTACACAGACTGATTTCTAAACACATTTATTGTAGTTTAAAGACACATTACTGGGAGAATTATTGCTGTGGAGCTCTGTTATACACTCAGACACATTACTGGGAGTATTATTGCTGTGGAGCTCTGTTATACACTCAGACACATTACTGGGAGTATTATTGCTGTGGAGCTCTGTTATACACTCAGACACATTACTGGGAGTATTATTGCTGTGGAGCTCTGTTATACACTCAGACACATTACTGGGAGTATTATTGCTGTGGAGCTCTGTTATACACTCAGACACATTACTGGGAGTATTATTGCTGTGGAGCTCTGTTATACACTCAGACACATTACTGGGAGTATTATTGCTGTGGAGCTCTGTTATACACTCAGACACATTACTGGGAGTATTATTGCTGTGGAGCTCTGTTATACACTCAGACATATTACTGGAAGTATTATTGCTGTGGAGCTCTGTTATACACTCAGACACATTACTGGGAGTATTATAGCTGTGGAGCTCTGTTATACACTCAGACATTACTGGGAGTGTTATTGCTGTGGAACTCTGTTATACACTCCGACACATTACTGGGAGTATTATTGCTGTGGAGTTCTGTTATACACTCACATTACTGGGAGTATTATCGCTGTGGAGCTCTGTTATACACTCACATTACTGGGAGTATTATCGCTGTGGAGCTCTGTTATACAATCACATTACTGGGAGTATTATTGCTGTGGAGCTCTGTTATACACTCAGACACATAACTGGGAGTATTATCGCTGTGGAGCTCTGTTATACACTCAGACACATTACTTGGAGTATTATTGCTGTGGAGGTCTGTTATACACTCACATTACTGGGAGTATTATTACTGTGGAGCTCTGTTATACACTCAGACACATTACTTGGAGTATAATTGCTGTGGAGCTCTGGTATACACTCAGACACATTACTGGGAGTATTATTACTGTGGAGCTCTGTTATACACTCAGACACATTACTGGGAGTATTATTGCTGTGGAGCTCTGTTATACACTCAGACACATTACTGGGAGTATTATTGCTGTGGAGCTCTGTTATACACTCATACACATTACTGGGAGTATTATTGCTGTGGAGCTCTGTTATACACTCAGACACATTACTGGGAGTGTTATTACTGCGGAGCTCTGTTATACACTCAGACACATTACTGGGAGTGTTATTACTGTGGAGCTCTGTTATACACTCAGACACATTACTGGGAGTGTTATTGCTGTGGAGCTCTGTTATACACTCAGACACATTACTGGGAGTATTATTGCTGCGGAGCTCTGTTATACACTCAGACACATTACTGGGAGTGTTATTACTGCGGAGCTCTGTTATACACTCAGACACATTACTGGGAGTATTATTGCTGTGGAGCTCTGTTATACACTCAGACACATTACTGGGAGTATTATTGCTGTGGAGCTCTGTTATACACCCAGACTCATTACTGGGAGTAGTATTGCTGTGGAGCTCTGTTATACACTCAGACACATTACTGGGAGTATTATTGCTGTGGAGCTCTGTTATACACTCAGACACACCAACAATATGGAGCCTCTAGAAAAGAGGGACATTAGGGCATACAATAGGACAGAGGAATTTGGGTGAAAAAGTAGAGCCTGTCCTCCTAAATAGGAACACTTGGGAAGTATGAATTAACCCTTCAATGCCAGGTGTGGGGACACAAGATTTGACCCCGTGGCTGTTGCTGCTATGTTTGGACAAGCCATTCTCCCGCTGAATTATAATATTATAATATAATTATATTATATACTTATAATATAATTATAGTATTTTCTTATTCTTTCCGTTATTAACATTGGCTCTGAGAGAGATGATTGCAGAAGCTGGATCATACTCTGTGTATACTATGTAGCTGCTAAAATGCACATATTGAAAGTTAGAGAGCTGTGCTGTCCGGAGAATTGCACGTCTTCCTGACAGCCACTAGAGGCGCTTCAGCTGCGCTGACCGACTAATACCTGATTACATGATGCTCAAGCCCATAGGAAATCATTGAATGCAATACAAGTGGGACCGTCGCGAGGAGGCCATGTTGTGGGAGGCAGGGAGGTAAACAGCACTGATGGAGCTTTGGAGCTTGAAAAAGGAAAGTAAAACGTTTGTTTTATTCATTTTTATTGCACACGCGGGAGCAGGGATCCTATATCGTTACAGGTTTGCATTCCTAACGCTCTATTGTCCCTTTAAATTCACTTGGAATGATCACTTTAATAAAGTAAATATCCATCATATTGATTAACACTGTCAGTAATGTATATGTCATTTATTGCAATATTTGTGTAAATTGCAAAAGGTGGAATAAATGCAGACAATATGAGCATTTAATAAATAAAATCATTATTATTGGGTTTCCATTGTCCATTAAGGCGCCCTTTGTTCTCCCCCCTCTGTGATCACGGCACATTCTGCTTAAGGGCTTTATTACTTATTAGCATGGAACATAATCTGATCTTTGGTTATGGCGGATGCACCCAGTAGGACGGAGATTCGGGACTCTGCTGTCACCAACCTATTTTATAGATTTTGACCTAAACCACTAGCTGCGTGTTTTACGGCATTCTGCCTGTTTACCTTGATTACTCTATGTGTTCTACCCCCATCATTCTTAAATACGTCCTTCTTGCTTGTTCGTGGGTACAGCTCTCTCCTGTCCGTCTCTCCTAACCTGACCTGTCCAGGGACAAGCAAAAAACACAGCAGAACTTTCTGGCCGTTACTGTTACTAAACATGATCCTAGTGTGAGAATTAAAAAAGGGGGTGATGCTTTAGGATAGGGTAAGCCCCTACAGGACAAATTGGGGAGTGTTATTTGAGTGGAAAGAAAAACCACATCAAAATATACCCAGTGGAGCGCTGTATAAAATACATTTAGCTGCCTAGATATACTACACCAGATTTTGTCTATTTTTTCCCTTTTTTAGACATTTGGTATATTTTATGTTCCCTTATTTAAGGGTAAGTGTATAATATCAGCGCTCCACTGGGTATATTTTAATGTGGTTTATCTTTCCACTCAAATAACACTCCCCAATTTGTTCTGCATGATTTTGTGTTAAGTTAGAGGTACTTGCAAGTGTGTTGAGCTGCATATTGTAATTATTTCTGAACTATCTCTTTAAGTGCCCTATATTGACACAGTACACCTGTTCTATTGTAACCCCCTACAGGCATTTGTCAGAAAAGCAAAGAGAGAAGGCTTCCAATTCCGTATAAAACTTCACTTTAATCCAATTAAAGGACCACTATAGTGCCAGGAAAACATGCTCGTTTTCCTGGCACTATAGTGCCCTGAGGGTGCCCCCACCCTCAGGGACCTCCTCCCGCCCGGCTCTGGAAAGGAGGAGGATCGGAGGCAGAGAGCTCCAGCGCTGGGCGGGGAGCTCTCTGCCTCCGATCCTCCTCCGTTCCTCCCCGTCGGCTGAATGCGCACGCCCGGCAAGAGCTGCGCGCATTCAGCCGGTCGCATAGGAAAGCATTATCAATGCTTTCCTATGGACGCTTGTGTGCTCTCACTGTGATTTTCACAGTGAGAATCACGCAAGTGCCTCTAGCGGCTGTCACTGAAACTGCTATGTTTATAAAAAAATGAGTTAACCCTAGCTGGACCAGGCACCCAGACCACTTCATTAAGCTGAAGTAGTCTAGGTGCCTAGAGTGGTCCTTTAATTAAAAAAACAGGCGATACATCAATATCTCTATAATGAAAATGAATGTGTTCACTACAACCAGTCACCGGTGCGAGTGTGTGTCAGACTATAGCCGAATCTATAGGTCAATATCACCAATACATCGCTATAAGTAATAGAAACATTAGAGCTCCCTCCCCCTTGGTGAGAAACGGTGAACTGCTAAGTTACTTTATACTTTTTGCAGACCTGACCGACCAGTTCTTTCAATTTATTGTAATCTGTTGCCTTTGTACTATATTTTATTGGCATTGTGGTTTTTCAGGGATTAGCAGCTACATTCGAGGTGCTGAATAATAATGAATTGAACTGAAAGTGAAGGTTTATATGGGATCGTACGTCTCCTCTGTTTGTTTTCTGGTAGTTGCCGTTCATCTCTTGGTTGTACAGAACTGATGCCATAACTAAACGCTGCTGAAACTCTGCTTTAAAGCTGTACACAGAGCGCTAGTCCTTCCGACCTGAACTATTTAACCCTTGCAATCATATGTTAAAATGTTAAAAGGTTTACACTCCATAGACTAGAAAGAGAGGTTTCTGATTGGCCAGGCTGCTTCCTGCCCTAGATATAGTTGATGTTGTTGTGTGACCATTTGTTATGTGAGATTGGCAGTTTCTGTGTAGTTCTAAGAGTCCCGGCCTGGAGTGTTGCCTTCAGGTTTTTTATGTGACATTGACAGGGTTATTTGCGAAACTGGAAATTTGGGGGAAATTATCATTGAATTGCACATTTTGGTAAAAAAAACTAAAACTAGAGCGGAGTGGCTGGTGTCAAGTTGTTGGCTTGGTCTTGGTGAGGTGCCCCCGAGAAAGACAAATGAAAGGAGAGCAAGAGTGGGTGGACCAAATGTGGAGGGTCATAGAAATACATCATCCACGAAGCTGAGGACATGGTGGCGTTGGATCAGAGAGGAGTTTCTAGCTAAATATTTTACATGGAATAAGTTATTTCAACTGGTATTTTCACTGGTTCATGCTAATGAAAACGTAGCTGCAAGTTAAAGATCTCTAAAAGGATTTGAGGCACCCAGATACAATGGCAGAAAATCTGCAACCTAAAGAAACATTGTGCTATTGCAAACAAGTTTCAGGAGTCATCATACAAGGTCCTGATCCTCTGGTACAGAACTTAATGCCTTCTGCACGCCATAGACTCCTCAAACAGGAGCCAATGATGGCAGTATCAGGGAATGTGAGGCACATTTCTGTGGTTTGCACCTGCACCCTGATCCGTCCATTCTGGGAAAAGATCTAAAAGCTCCTTGATCATAACACTATTAAGTTATTGATTTATGTAAAAATCCATGATAAACCGAAATCTTAATGTAGCTAAAAACCTGATCCCACCCTATTGGAAGCAAACCATCATGAGACCCCTTAATCTCTGGTTCCAACCTATGAAAGAATTACCTTCCATGGATGAACTAATATTTAACTCTGCTGTCTACTGCAGGGAGTGACTTCCAAACATGGTAAGGTTAGGTGAGGTTAGCTTACCTGGGGGATCCATATGAGCTGCTGCTAACATGGGCCATTGCCTCTGAACCCTAACACCAAGGTGGGGTTTAGGAAGATGGATGGGACGGTACTGTTGTCACCGGTACTACCAAGAGGCCTAGCACTACACCCCTCGGTGACTGCCTGCTATGAAGGGTCACCACCACAGGTCATGTTAGATAGCGCTCTGTGTCTAGTTGAAATCTAGTTGAAATTTATTATGACTCGAGTTGAAATTTGTTAAATACTGGCAACCTGTTTCAACCTGCACTAATCCCTCTACAGCTATCATACTACACACTCTAGATTGGTGAATTACTCCACAATATACTGTACCATCTGTTGATTTTCCTGTCTCTGCATCTTATAGTGGACGTAGTGTTAACTTTTAATCTAATGAAACATTGTAAATAAGTCGTTTTTATTTCATATATTTATTTATTACATTTTGGAAAACATACAGAGTATCACAGAAAATATACATTCACAGCATTTTACATATAATAATCTATTTTACATAAAAACTCAAAACATTATTTAAAGTGCATAGTGAAAGGGTGAACGTAACGTGTCCAAATTGATGGATTTGAGAAACAGACCTTTTTAACTGAGCAGCTGCAGTCAGGGCCGGACTGGGGAAAAAATTAGGCCCGGGCATTTTTCAATCAGAGCGGCCCCCTAAGAAGGGGGCGGGGCCAGAGAGGGTGTGTTTTGTCATCACTAATGACAAGCACGCCTCCTCTCAAAGTGAGCATGTTGGTTCAATGCGCAGAGCTGCGCTGAAGAGCTCTGGCATTAGAAAAAGGCCCTGTATTTGTTCTGCGCAGCGCAAGCAAATTTAATAACATGCTTGCGCTGTGTTTGCTTTTAAATTGTCTCTGGTGTCTCAACAAGTGGGATACCAGAGGACAAAAGGGCCAGGAAAGTGTATGGTGCATGTGTTTGGAGCCTGCTTGTGGGATTGCGTGTGTGTAGAGTGTGGTGTGGTATTGTGTAAATAGGTCAATTTCATATGTGTTTGTGGTGTAATATGTGTGGCTAGGGGCTGTAGAGAGTGTGTGTATAGGTGGCATAGTGTTATAGGGGATGTAGCGAATGTGTGCATACGGGCTGTAGTGTGTGTATATAGGTGACGTAGTGTGTGTGTAGGGGTTGTAGAGAGGGTGTGTTTAGAGAATGTTGTATGTGTTTGCTGACAAGGAATGTAGTGTGTGTGTAGGTGGTGCAGTGTGTGTGTAGGAGATCTAGTGTGTAAAGGACCCAGAGTGTGTATAGGAGATTGTGTGTGTGTGTGTGAGTGTGTGTGTATAGAGGATTAAGAGTGCATATAAGGTAAGGGATCTAGCGTGTATCTGGAGCGTAATGTATGTAGTGCTGTAGTGTGTGTGTGTGTGTGTGTGTGTATATATATATATATATATATATATATACACACATACATATATATATTTGGACGTATTGTATGTGTGAGGGGCGCAGTGTGTGTGTATGTAAGAGGGGTGCTGTGTGTGAGGGTGTTTTTATCTGTCACATTCTAATTTTCTTTGTCTGTTAATTCACTGAGGGTTATTTTATATATATATATATCTATCTATCTGTAAATATATATATATATATATATATATATATATATATATATATATATATATATGTGTGTGTGTGTGTGAGCGAGGGTGCTGTGTGTGAGTGAGGGTGCTGTGTGTGAGTGAGGGTGCTGTGTGCCTGAGTGCGCTGTGTGTGTCTGGGTGCGCTGTGTGTGTTTCTGGGGGTGCTGTGTGTCTGGGGGTGTTGTGTGTGTCTGTGGGTGCTGTGTGTGTCTGGGGGTGCTGTGTGTGTCTGGGGGTGCTGTGTGTGTCTGGGTACTGTGTGTGTCTGGGGGTGCTGTGTGTGTCTGGGTGCTGTGTGGGGGTGCTGTGTATGTCTGGGGGTGATGTGTGTGTCTGGGGGTGCTGTGTGTGTGTCTGGGTGCTGTGTGTGTGTCTGGGGGTGATGTGTGTGAGTGTGATTTTTTTTTAATTTAAATTATTTTAATTTTTTTAAATTAATAATAATAATTTTAAAAAAAAGTTATATCCCCCCCCTCCCTTCTTACCTTTAGCCTGGGAGGGGGGGGGCCGTTTTGCCTGGGACGGGGGGGAGCCGTTCTGCCATGGGAGAGCCATGCTGCCTGATCCCTGGTGGTCCTAGTGGTGAGCGTGAACTCTAGCCTGTAGGTTAGAGTTCACTCTCGCGAGATCTGAGCGTTGCCGCGGTAACCGCGGCAACGCTCAGAATCCCGCGAGAGGACCCAGCGGAGCTGCTGGATAGAGCTCCGCCGGTCCTCTCCTCCCTCCCTCAAACCCCAGCAAGCGGCCGCCTGGAAGTGTCTCTGGGCCGGTAAAGGGAGATCTTTGATCTCCCCACCGGCCCATGGAGGCACACAGCGGGGCCGGCGCTCGGGTAGCGCTGGCCCTGCACGGGCTGGCAGGGGAGATCCTGTGATCTCCCCTGCCGGCCTCGGCCCCACGGCCATCGCGGCCCACCGGGCATTTGCCCGGTGTGCCCGATGGCCAGTCCGGGCCTGGCTGCAGTTATATACAAAAGATAACTGAAATAGATCCCATGGTCGTATTCTGAAAACGACCACTGATCATCATTGAGCTATTATTCACATTCTAATCCTCCAGGATCTGATGTGCTCTCTGTAGTCAGCAGCCAAACCCTAAATTATTGTCACTTTTGTAACACTGTTATACTGTGACTGGCCAAACATGGGAATGATTATCTGGCAGGTCAATTTTCTGTGAAAATCGTCTATACCTGTAAATGTTTATTAAATGGACATTATAATCACCAGAACAACTACAGCTTAATGTATAGTAAACAGCTTAATGTAGTTGTTCTGGTTTACACAGCCTGTCACTGCAGGCATTTTAATATAAATACTTGTGCAGGCTGGAAAAAGGTGAGTAAATCGCCCTTTAACTGGATGTAAGTAGGGCGTGGGGGGAGGGACTAACATCTATTTAGATCTATGGTGCCAGAGATACATGTTTGTATTTGGGACACTATTGTGTCCCTTTAAAGTGATGAGGAATAATAAAACGAACAATCTCAGCCTATGATTAATCACCTTCCTCAGACTTTTCAAACGTCAGTGACAGATTATACATTGATAATAACAATAAAAAAAGCTCCATAGTAATAAAACTCACAGCATGTCCTGTATGAGTGTATCACAGAGCTCCACAGAACTAAAACTCACAGCACTGCATAGTGTTTATGAGTATATCACACTTATAAAAATAATCTGTGTTAGTAAATCTGTTAATTGACATATTAATTGGTTAATACAAATATTTTTGAACAGGCGTTGAAATCAACTAAACTTTCTATAATGTTCTATTTGTCTGCACACTCTACAACAAGTAACGTATTTCTAAATCCTGCCAGTTGTAGGAATCTACTGAAGGTTTTTGTTGGCATTTCATGCAGAGTCCGAGTAATCCTCAGATGTAACAATTAATTGGCGACCTTGCAGAGCACCCCCAAAAACACACAGGTCACAAAGCAAATCCTAACAAGAAGTCAACTAATGCGGAAGAATGGACAGACAGACGCAGATGAAATCGGTTTTGGAGACCTGGAACAGCTGACGTCAGACCTTCCTTCTGTTGATCTTTATTGAGAATCCTGGAACTGTCTTGAAATCCTCCAGCGTTTATGTCTCTGTATTTAAACTGTAAAAGCATGCATTGTGCCTGCTGGATAATGCCAGTCATAGTTACAGCTATGGAGCCATCTCCAAAACGCCATCGACTGCAATATCATCAATACATTGTAATACATTGAAACCCTGAGCATAAATATAACTATAATTCATATATACACTTAACAAAACATATAAACAATTACAATGAACATATATATCACATACATTAGTACGTACTTGTATAGACAGAGAAACTCTGTACGGGTCCGTGTTACGTCAATGCACATAACACAATGGTTGGAAAATGAATTCCCAAAGGTATTGTCCAGAGAACCAGATTATATCACAAAACACAGCATAGAACACAGCTATACATCACATTACTTCAATAAACATTCTATACATTCCATAGAATTCTATATTCTTTACGTTCTTCTTGGACAGTTACTGTTTGCAGCTGTGATGACCATGGTGTCGCTCGCGCTAAGAATGTCATTGCAGAATGTCGGTGCTCGTGGCTGGTTAATCCATTGAAGGAGATCAATTTCTTCTCCTACTCAGTCACACTAAGATATTCTACATATCTCTAAGAATAAAGAGTCGAAATATAATAAATTAGCTTTTGAGATTCAAGCACTCATTTAGTTTTTTGTATCATCTAATCATGGCCTCAATTTACTATTTTTGCATAAGCTCTCCAAAAAAACATATATATCACAAGTACGCCAATGTATCAAAAAATATAAAAATATTAAAATATGAAACCATATGAAAAGCTGATTCAACAATATTAAATCGGCCCCACATCTTCTAAATCAATACCTTGGACACGGATCTCAAGATTTGTTGCAGTCACACCCTTCTGCGTGAAAGACACTGGCTTTTTTGAAACGAACGACTGTCAGCTTCACCTATCAACAAGGAAATGTACAAACTTTAAATTTCACCTTCAAATATTTTTGGAGTTAGAGTTCTCTTAACTGTGATTTAATATTATCCTCGATTTAATATTTTTGGATAAACTTTTTAAATGATTTATATTTTTACAAATATTTTACTATTTGGATATTTATGGATATATGGATATCATTTGTATATATGATTTATAAAGTTTTATAAATTATTGAAAAAGTTTATCCAAAAATATTAAATATTTGAAAAGCTTATCCAACAATATTAAACCAAGGCATATTACCATCGAACAATTCATTAATTATTCTATAAATATGTTTTAACCTATTCAAAATATATCCATAACTTTTTTAAGTTTTCATAAAATTTACCATTTGGGGTTAACAGCAAACCACGGTGGGTTGACAATTGACTTTGAAATGTTCGTCTAGTATGATTGTGTTGGGACAAAGTTCCACCCAGAATCTTGGATGAAATTTTACACGACGTTTGTGTCAATAATTTAAAGTATTAAGGCTGTGTGAATGATGTTGTCTAAAGGTTACTAAAAATTGTTTGATTCTAAAAAATAATTAGACTTGATGATTTACTTCGTGCCAAACTACAGTTTGGCCAAATTTGGGGCATTTGGGGGATTGGTCAAATTCTCAAATCTGTACCTGAATCACGGATTAACAAAATCGCGTAATGCCGAACCTGTCGGATTTGGGGTTCTGAATCTGAATTCCTCCCAAGGTTCCAAAAAATAGATGATTAATGGTGGGGGGCGGGGGGCGGAGGACTGTCACTAAATTTTATTCACAGATCAAGAGAGAAGTAAGCAATAGAAAAGAAATAAAATTTAAAAAAAATGAAAAGTAAAACAATCTATATTTATACATTGTATATTATATATTTAATAAAAATACAAATACATTTTAAATATCCGCCTGTTTTTCCATCTATTATTAACTTTTTCTCCCTTGATCTGTGAACCAAATGAAATGCTCTTATAAATGGACTGCACAAATATACACTGAATGTTTATTTATATATTCATGCACTTGGCTCCGAAATGTGGAACAAATATTCGGCCGAAATGCAGCCGTCGCAAATAAATTTATATTTTCTGAAAACATCGAACGTAGAACATTCTGAGCAAGATGACACATAGAATTCAAAGTTGAGTTGTGATACAGGGGTTAAAGTGACACGAGAACAGATAAGACACGGGTTTGATAGAAAATAGACAACATTCTTGCAGAGGGTCGTAAATATCTAACTGAAGAGTAGAGTGAGGGGGAGAGAAAAAAAAACAAAAAACAAGCAGACAGTGGAGAAAAAGGTACACTTTATACATACACACACACACACACACACACACATATATATATATATATATAAATATTGTAACAAACCACCTCTTTTACAGGTAGGATTTTGTCACAGATCTTACAATAAACCACAGCCTTCTAGGGTATACAAAGCCCAGGACTAGTGATGTCCCGAACGGTTCGCGAACGGTTTGCCACGGACTCATCATTGAGTAAACTTTGACCCTGTACCTCACAGTCAGCAGACACATTCCAGCCAATCAGCAGCAGACCCTCCCTCCCAGACCCTCCTACCTCCTGGACAGCATCCATTGTGAAGCTGCATTCTTAGTGAGCTGTCCAGGAGGTGGTAGGGTCTGGGAGGGAGGGTCTGCTGCTGATTGGCTGGAATGTGTCTGCTGACTGTGAGGTACAGGGTCAAAGTTTACTCAATGATGAGTCCGTGGCGAACCGTTCGTGGCGGACCTTTCGGCGAACAGTTCGGGACATCACTATCCAGGACACATTCAGCTCGATTTTCCTTTTTATTTCATAGGAAAAACAGCTGCTTTAAATAATAAAAACAAAATTCCTTGCTCTTACTTGAGCTCTTACTAGACAGAAATCACTATCTGTAATTGGGTGGCTTTCCCACTTACCGATTTTCCAAAACAAACGAAATAGCTTTTCAATAAACGCAATTGTTGTTGTTGTTGTTGTTGTTGTTGTTGTTGTTGTTTTCTCTCCTTCAGCTCTCCTAGCTGGCTTTTTCTCCCTCACTCTGCAGCAGGCTGATCTCTTCTTTTAAAGGCCTGTCTGCCAATTGACCAGCTACAGGTGAGTGCCAATTAGTTAACTATTAAGTTATTAAATTCTGGTCTGTTACAGAGCAACTAGTGCTGTTGGAGCATTGGCCCACCCTGCTCTCCAAATACTCTGCCCCAGGGACCCATACCGTGTTTTGCATAGTATCAGCAATGTATATCGCAAACTTTAACATCTCTCCCTGGGGCATTTAACTGAAAATTCTCTGGCTGCTGTTTAGCAAATCAGGCCTGATGTATCTTTCATCAACCACTATTCCACTTTTTCGCTCACAATATATATATACATATGTATATGCAGACACATAAACACATGAACACATATACATACATGCACACAAACTGATATACACAAATATAAATGCACAGTCATATATATGAGCATACATGCATTAGAGTATGGGAAAGCATAGGGCTACACATAGTACTTATATATTGATAGAATAAACATATCATTGGAATGAAATTTATAGCACTGCGTCTCCAAAATGAATAGATTAAATGACTCTCTCCGTCATTTAGAACTTACCTCTCTCCCTTTAGAGTTGTTTAACATTTGTGAGAACAATTCACAAGACTCCATTGTGATATCATTCATTGTGTCTATGTTATCCCCATAACGAAACAAACACCCAATTTCTTTTGGGCCCTTCCATTTGGATACACTATAAACAAAAATGGATCATTTTCAAGTTACTTAGTTATTGTAATTTAAGAACATGTGTAACAGGCCGTAGATCGTTAAACTCAACTATGATAGATATCAAATCCATTACTAAACCTGAGATTTCTTGTCTGATTTAGCAATTAGTTTCAAATCCAACCATAATTTTTTATTTAAGATTTCACAAAAATCCACTGAAATACTTTATATCAGAATGAGGGTGACACATAGGACTTACCGTAAACGGTTTGCGATTATTTCCACCGCTAAATATTTTCGCATGTGTTCTGTTGGCACGCTGAGACTTATCGTTTCTGTATCTGTTTCCTCACTGAAAGGATATATGACATTAGTAAATGTATCACTTCAATGTATTTAGAAAAATAAATAAACACATGATTTTTTTTTGTCTATAAAATGAAGTTCCCAGTGATCTGAGGGTACCACGGTAAGCCATCTCTAATATAAACCAAATAATTTATTTTGCTTTTCAGTCATCCACGACCCAAAAACTAAAATATCAAGGTGGAACATCCCAGACATGTAATATTCATAAAGATTTTCTAAAACAAATTAAAGAGTTAAATCTCCTGGTGAAGAAGTTTTTTGTGGCAATGCCAATAACTGTTGCATTGATATTATTTGTTTTCTTAAATGCGTCAGCATAAAGTTCTAACAGCAGCAACGAGCAGATACTTAGTTATTTTCAGTTGTAAACATATATTATATTAGAATACTTACAAATTCATTGTTAACAGGTGCACTTTTTTTAGCCTGCTTCCCTTGAATATGTTTCGTTTTTCGCAACTCGCAGGTTTATTTATTATTTCGGACTTATCTGGAGCATTGCTATCCTGAGTTTCAGAGCTGAAACATAAAATTAACACTATTTTACATTTTCCGTCATTCTGGGGAAAGATTCAAAACGTTTCTTCTTTAGGTACTTATCCCCCTGTCCCACTTTTCTCCTCTTGTATCTCAGTTTTCTAGGATCTCAGACTATCTGGTGTGTCTGAGTGTTTCAAACGAATCAGTGATAAAACGTACAGTAACACATCTTTAAACTCTGTTAACTTGTTTCTAAATTCTCCTATAACTATTTTGCTTTGGTTGTAAAGGAAGTTTTAAGTTACATAAATGGTCATCAGTTGGTCATGAAGTCACTTGTAATGTCCTGGACTAGTCCCGCCCCCGAGCAGCTCTCCAGCCAGGCCGTGTACAATGAAGGTACACACCCTAGGCAGTTGGACCTGTACAGCGTTAATGTCAAACTCATCCTCTCATCTCCTAATGAGTCCCATTATTTCTAACCTAGGCTTAAGCTGGCATTAGCAATGATTATAATCTACTGCTCAGTCAGTCATACAGAGAATTTATGAAAACATTATTCAGTTTTGTCCAGTCAGCCAGTGGGAAAAAAACAAAAAAAATTGTAAAAAAAAATGAAAAGGGAAAAAAAAGACAATATATTATGAAACATTCTTCCATTGCTTTGTTTTCCCTCTCACATATTGTTAATAAATGTGTAATACTTACAATGGCTTCATTTCTTGATAGATATTATCTTCATCTGAGTCAGAATCACTGGTCTGATCACTGTTCGAAACGCTGCTTCTCTGTACGTTGGAAATAAATTCAGGCTGAGGAGAAAATAAAGTAATGGTCTGGGTTATTACCTGGGTTATTAGATTTTATTATCAATTCTATTTCTAATTTGGTTTTATTGGTTTTTTTTGTCTTTCTGTTTTAAGGTTGATCTGAGATCAGAAGCAGAATGGAAACAGAATGGAGGCATTGCAAGGGATGGGACAGTGAGAGAGAAGGGGGTGTCTGGGTGAGGGACAGTGAGAGAGAAGGGGGTGTCTGGGTGAGGGACAGTGAGAGAGAAAGATAAGTCAGGGTAGGGAACAGAGAGAGTCAGGATGGGGTCAGAGAGAGCGAGAGAAGGGGTGTCTGGGTGAGGGACAGTGAGAGAGAAAGATAAGTCAGGGTAGGGAACAGTGAGAGTCAGGATGGGGTGTCAGAGAGAGAGAGAAGGGGTGTCAGGGTGGGGAACAGTGAGAGTCAGGATGGGGTGTCAGAGAGAGAGAGAAGGGGTGTCAGGGTGGGGAACAGTGAGAGTCAGGATGGGGGTCAGAGAGAGAGAGAAGGGGTGTCTGGGTGAGGGACAGTGAGAGAGAAGGGGTGTCAGGGTGGGGAACAGTGAGAGTCAGGATGGGGGTCAGAGAGAGATAGAAGGGGTGTCTGAGTGAGGGACAGTGAGAGAGAAGGGGTGTCAGGGTGGGGAACAGTGAGAGTCAGGATGGGGGTCAGAGAGAGAGAGAAGGGGTGTCTGGGTGAGGGACAGTGAGAGAGAAGGGGTGTCAGAATGGGGGGCAGTAGGAGAGAATGGGGTTAAAAAAACCAAGAAGAAATTCAAAAGGGAGTATTTATACAGATACAGGACCAAGCAATACCTCCCCCCACCCAAAACCACTAATAGAGAGAAGGTAAAGACATTTTACCAGAAGCGTTGATTGTGGCCGCGGATAATCGTATGCACTCTCGCTGTCACTCCCAATGTCACTATCGGGTCCTGACTCCAGATAAGTTTCCCGAGGTGACATTTTACCAGAAGGCGGTGTACGTGGCTGCAAAAATAGAGCTAAATGTTAGTACTTATATTGAAATCAATATAACGGACCAATAAAGTCTCTTAGGCTACTTCATGTCAGTAATGTGGCCTGGATGCAGTAGTCTTTTCAGTTCAGCTGTTCAAGGAAAAGCATTGCCAAGTTGCAGAAACGACAATGTTTACCTTGAAGAGTTCCAGAGGCTATTACACTGACAGTAACTGGAGGTGCTCCCGTTTCAACGACTGAGTAAAACTAGGTTATGTGAAGTTGCAGCTACCTTAGGAATGTATTAATTTAATACTTTCCTATAGGGAAGCTTGGATGCATGCGTGACACTTGCCAATCATGCGCAGCAGGTCCCCAGGAGCATTGGATTGGACCATCATGATGTCATGGGAGGAAGAGAGGTATTCTGTGAGACAGTCTCATTGTTGGAAAAAGGTAATTAAAAAGTTTTTTTTATGGTACACATGGGGAGCTAGGGTCAGGTTTTTAAAAAAGAATTGTTTAAATCGCTGCTGTGCATCACCTACATATCTCAAGCCGGACATTTGGTCCACCTTTGGCTCCAACATTCCCCCAAAGTTCTGCAGATATCATTAGCAATGAACGCTGTTTTAAACACAGCTTTTTAAATTAAAGCATGGACCAATTACCAGGAACCAGCCACGAACTGTAGAGTTTTGACCCTTTACAGCATGGCTCTGATTTGGTCAGGAGTTGAAGTCTTTCTGAGAGCAAATTATGAAATGGTGAATTACGAAATAAGTTGTGGTGAGATCAAATATTATAAAACTCTCAGCAGGTTTATGGAAACTCACAATTCACTGTTGTGCGATAGCTACATATGTCAAGTAGTAAGTATACATATTAGGCAGTGATGGCAACCACAGAGTGCACATTTGATATAGCAGTGTTTTGTGGATATAGACATTGTTCTTTAGATCCTCGATGCCCTGCCCAATGGAAATTCTGACTTTTCTACAGAGATCATCTGCTTTGCCTGTCTGTCCACAACCTGATCAAATACTAAACATGCGTCTCTGTGTTACAGGAGGAAGGACTTTATTTCAATTTTCTGAACAACCTTAAGAAAGGTTGACCAAGTCCTACCAGGTAGCTTACCGGTAGTTTATCATACTCTGAGTCTTGGTCGATTCCGTGGTCACTGTCATAATCCGGCTGTGGATTGTCTTTTTCTGAAACTGTTTGTTTCTGAAAGCAAAATTGATAAAAGTGCTCATTGTTTGCCCTATCATATCGCAACATGAGCTAGCCAGGCCTTTCTACTGATAAACAGAGGGAAATTTATCTAAGTGTCATGAAATATGGTCACACTGCACACTACCCAGCCTCCAATGTGCCCAGCTTGCCAGAAAGCTCCTAATATTGTGAGGCATGTAAAAGTAAATCTTTATCATTTCAGTTTATTAGTAATCCCAATGTTTGAATTTGGTACCCTATGAGCACCCTGTATATGATTTCAGGAGGTGCCACTGGGCACTGTCTGGGCTGGATTGCCTACAAAGCCATCAAGGCCCTGGTCTCGGGGAGGCATCGTTAGGGGGGTGACATCATGGATAGCCTACCAGGACTACACAGGGAAATTCCACGGTGGCCCATGCCATATATTTAGTAATAAACTGATGTGAAGCTTACTTGTGCCCGTACCTTAGTCCCACAGTCTATTTGGCCTCTAAAACTTGTTTTGCCGTTTTAAATAAAAATTAAATAAGAATAAGCTAATTGATTGGGATGTCAGTCATCATTCAAAAGGGCTGCCTTCCCCTTCCCCCAAATCAATAATAAAAGGTATTTCCCCCCAAATCAATAATAAAGGTATATGTGGCACAAGCTGTACTGTCATTACAAATTCATTAAATATCCAACGTACAGGCACAGCTTTTGTGATTTTATAGTTTTTCAGTAATTTAATAAATAATATAATTATAAATAGTGTGCCTTTTATAGTTAAATTGATGTACTTATTTTGTAATTATAGTTTATACAATCACCCCCATATATACATACATACAAACACCTCCATATACACATACATACATACAATCCCCTCCATGTTCACATTCATAGATACAATCACCACCATGTTCACACGTATGCATACAATCACACCTACATGCACATACATACATACATACAATAATGTGGGTGCATTTAGGCAACTGGCCTTAGGATAAATCCAACCAGGGCACAGTACAGAAAAATAGCTATGTGTGCTGAAACATATTGCACAATACAGAAGTCCGTTCACCTGTGGTTTGCAATTTGTGTGTTAATTACACTGACCCCAAAATATCTGTATTGTGGCCTGCCATAATACAGGTTGAGTGCGTGCAGTAGGTAAAATACAGGACTCACCGCTGATAGTGCTGATGTCCCAGTGAATTCTTGCCCAAATGCATTCATGCTGGGTGCGTAGGCCATCCCCGAATCTGTGTTACACCTCTGTATGTAAAGTGTCTGGACAAAACACAGCAAACATCACAGTTACAAAGTGGCATGACTGTCTCGTGAGTGAACAAGGGATACTCAGATTTATCAGATACAAATTGAATTTTAGTCCATAGGGTCAACTAATTTCTGATCTGACCAGCTGAGTGGATTTTTCTGTGCCTCTGGTGTGACCATAGGCGAATCTACCAATGGGACTCAGATTTTGACCCAACTGCTATTTCTGGTGTAACCCATCAACCTTGCACGGATCAAGAAGTTAATGAGCATGTTGAAGCAAATTACAATGGTCCAATTACCAAAATTATATCAATGAAACACACTAAAACAACCATATTACCCTGACGTCCCAGGAAAATTATCTTAATTTTGGATCCCATTCCTCCCAATTGGATTTTCAGTGAAAATCCAAAACCTTTTAAGCTGAGGGAATTGACAAGAGAATGGGCACAACTACTTCAAGGAGGTGACAGTGATGCATCTCTCATTGGCAGCATGTGGTTACCGCCACAGGGCAGCACAGTTGATGCTCTCTATTATCTTGCTAACTTAATGGTTTCTTGGGAGACTTTGGGTTTGTATTAGTGCATCATCTACCTGTAACTACAAATCACTGCCTTCGTTCTCTATACTCGTTAAAATAAACAGTTTCAAACATCTTACGTTTGTCATGACATGTCCCGAATGAGGATGGTTACAAGGGTGCGATTTTGGCCTTTTTTCCTGTGGAAACAAATGTATCAGATAAGAAAGAAATGTTTGACTTTTTTTGTGAGGTTGAAGAAGAGATTACTGGGTCACATATTTTACAGAGAGATAGAAATTGATACCAATACTAACGTAATCGCACCTACAAGTTATCATTTATAAAAGCCTCCAATATTGCTTTTTTAAACTGAATTGTACTTAGTTTACAACTAAATATCAAACTATGGATTACATTTTACAAACTGGGGGAAAAATTAACTTCCCTGTAAAGGAATGTCGCTCTAAACTTGGCCAGTAGTTTGTAAGTTAAGTCAGCTCAGGCAGTTTCATACTTTTTGAACATTTTGTGTTGTCCGTAACACAGCAGAATGTGATTCAGTAAGCTCTGACCTTCTCCGTTCTTTCTCTAATGTTTACTTTAGGAAAGATATTTTTGCTCGACTTTCCTTTCCTCTAAGGGGATTTTCCTGCCTTTTCTATGGATCTAAAATTACAAGGGGCCCAAATACATTTTATCGAGTCACCATTGTAAATAACCCCCATAAGTTATGTACAGAATACTGTGTGACAGATCATGTCATGATCCATACATTAAACCCCATGAGAACATCTGACAGATCATGTCGTGTTCCATCTTCTCTATGTTCTCATGTTCCAAACATGGACAACAGAGGAACATCCTCTCCATATTTTCATGTTCTAAACATTGATCACAGAGGAACATCCTATCTATGTTCTCATGTTCTAAACATTGAACCCCAGAGGAACATCATTTCTATGTTCTCATATTCTAAACGTTGAACCCCAGATGGACATCCTATCTATGTTCCAATGTTCTAAACATTGAAACTCAGAGAAACATCATTTCTATGTTCTCATGTTCTAAACGTTGAACCCCAGAGGAACATCCTCTCTATGTTCTCGGACTAGAATAAAGACTGTTCTTACCATTTCAGGCACGCTGATAGGAACTGGGTGCCCAATTGCAGGTCCATCTACATTCTGGAAGTATAAATTAATAATGTTAGATGAGCACTAGTCATAGGTTTATATTTTACACAGACCCCAATCTAAAACTACATTCCGCATAGACAATAAGAACGCAACATTGGTCTGAAATCTTCAGGTTCCTTAACCCTTCTCTGTGCATGTTCCATTCAGATTACCTGACTGCACTTAGTGCGATATTATTTGATATAATTTAATGTCAGATCTGAGCTAGGATGCCTGTTATCATAGCCATCTGCTATATGGATTGCATTATTAACAGGGGTTGCGAATATTTGACTCACTCACTATATATCATGTTATTTTGTATTACACATTACGTATAATATTGTATATATAATACAGCACTGTGTAATATATAGAATTATATAAAAGACGTATAAGGCTTTTGAAATTCTGTGTAAAGATAAGCATCTTAGTATTTAATTGTTAGTATTACTTTATACAATATCTTACTAGTAACTAGCTAATATTAATCTATACAGGATATAACTGATTACTAGTTAGTATTGTAATATAAATTAGCTAACTAGTTACTACTTAGTGTTATTTATACAATATTTTACTAGTAACTAGTTAATGTTACTTTATTTGGTACTGTATTAGTTACCAGTTATTATGCTGTTATACCAAATCTTACTAGATACTAGATAGCTTTACATTATAACATATCATACTAGTTAGTAGCTAGTAAATTAGTAAATGTGGTAAATTACTTCACTAGTTTTTAGTTAGTGTTACTTTACTTAGTATCTTACTAGTTACCAATATTACTTGATAAAGCTTTGATTTACCATTGTTAAATAAACTTTCAAAATGATTTAATATCTTAAATAAACTTTTAACAATATTTAGCAAAATATTAAAATATCAAAAATATATCATATATAAAATATAGATCAATATGTAAAAAAAACTATGAATATATTACAAAATTAAGATATTTTTCATAATATTAAATATTGTTAAAAGTTTATCTAAAGTTATAAAATAATTCGGAAAATGTATCCAACAATATTAAATTGAGACCAAAATGTCTTACTAGTGACTAGCTAGTATTACATTTTAGTATTTTACTAATTAGTATCACATTATAAAATATCTTACTAATTAGTATCACATTATAAAATACCTTACTAATTAGTATCACATTATAAAATACCTTACTAATTAGTATCACATTATAAATTATCTTACTAATTAGTATCACATTATAAAATACCTTACTAATTAGTATCACATTATAAATTATCTTACTATTTAGTATCACATTATAAAATACCTTACTAATTAGTATCACATTATAAATTATCTTACTAATTAGTATCACATTATAAAATATCATATTAGTCAGTATTACATTGTAAAACATCTTACTAATTAGTATCCCAATATAAAGCATCTTACTTATTAGTATCAGATTATAAAATATCACTAATTATCCCTGGCTCGGCTTAGAATACACCTTAAGGGGGCCCCAGTTAAATGTGCCACAAGAAGACCCATAAGTTGTAGGACACGTTCAGGAAAAGATATAATCAAAGGGGCGGCCAACAGTTCTACGCAACGGAGTTCGGGGGAAAAAGATAGTGTGCTGACCATAACTGTGCATGTATTTACGGTTTTCAGACCAGGCAGCTCTGGGTACATAACGTTAAAATGTCAGTTAAAAATTCCTATATACATAACTTGTACATAACTTTAAGTTATAAAAACTCTTGGACCTGCGCATCCACAATGTCACAACTTTACATCTGTTATAATCTGATATATGACTCACAAAATACCAATAAAAAAAAGATTTAAAAGATTAAAAAGATTAAAAAAAAATTATAAAATATCTTACTGGTTAGTTTTACAATATATCTTACTAGTTAGTATCACATTATAAAATATCTTACTAGTTAGTTTTACAATATATCTTACTAGTTAGTATCACATTATAAAATATCTTACTGTGCTTCTGTTGATCTCTACCCACGCCTGACTAATGCAATTAAACCATTCTTCAATCTCTTTCCTTTAGAGGCAAAAAGAAAAAAAAAAATACAAAAAGTCAATTAAATGCTACTTAGTGCACACTGTAATATTTCACTAACATTGACACAACTACTTTGGGATTATGTAAAATATTAAAAATGTTAAGATCTATATGTATTGCACACTGAATCCTTATTGTTTTGTTGACAGATCTACGTTGAACATGTTTTAAACTGATAAGTAAAATTTTGTGTTGTATTTGTGTTTGCGTGTAGCATTGCTTCTACTTTGTGTTATGTTGTGTATTGGTATTAGTGTGTCGTGTGTAAGTAGGATACGTACAGGGTTTCCATAACCAAATTCCAATACTGGTAAAATGTAACTTTGATTGGGCTGATCTTGGTAAAATGATATTTATAAATATTACTCTTAACCTCTTAATGTCCAAGCATTTTGTAATGGAAAAAAATATTATAATATTTAATTGATGCAAGGGATGCATAGCTAGAAAATAAACATTAAAAAAAACAAAAAAAACTGTTTTCTGTACAGATTGTTATGAGGACAAACGTAAAAATTAAAAATGTGTAAACTTACACAATTTTTATTTTACATGTATTCGTTCATCCTTTCTAAAAATATTTGCGAAATGGAAAGCCTTAGACAGTATACATTGTCATACAATATATGACTAAGGAATTAAAGGGATAAATATGTTATGGATTGGGGATTCCACACATTGGTACTTCCCTTCCCACCCCCTTTTCTTTTCCTTCTTGATTCCTACATCTTTCTTCTTTTTATTTGATTATCGGTTTACTGAAATCTTAGAGGATGGAAGGTAACATCGGAAAGACCAATGATCTTGGAAGATCTGTCATTACGTCATTTGTTGTAATGCATCTTGTTTCTCATTACCAAACGTGTTTTCATGTCTAGTACGGTCTAACAATTCTCTACCTGACCTCTGTTATTAAATAAGGATTTAAAAAAAAAGGGACTGGGACTGGGACACTGCACCCAGACTAGTGTCCCTTTAATATTCCAGGATGTGACTCACAGACTGTAAATAAGCTAAGAGACAAATGAAGAAAGTAATAGCCAGAAAAATGATTCCTCTGTGATGTTTAACTTACTTGTTTTCATCAAAGAGATAGAAATCACGGTCAGCAACCTTTATATATATAACATTCTCTGCAGTGATGTTGAACATGCGCAGAACTACACTAATCTTGTCTATGGCATTTACTCCTCTTTGAACAGCTTTGACTCTGCGGAACAAACAGAAATACATTTACACCCAATTAACAAACAATACCAGGGCTTTGTCAAATGGTTTGTCTACCAAAATTTCCATAGACTTTAATGGTGACTTCTCTAGATAATTATCAATAGAAACATTTAACCAAAAATATTAACTCTACAGTTCGAGAATTCCTTTGACTATTTTACTCTTAATTTTGCAACCAATCCTCGCTGTTTATTTAATGGATGGCTATATTTACCCTTAAACAGAGTAATAATTTATTTTTATAGTTAATATATGATATCAAATAAAAATGCAGAAAATAAGACCAAATCAGCTTTAGGAAATTAAGAATGTAAAAATATGCAACGCTATAAAAGAATTCTGAAAACAGACACATTTTACGGGAATATAGAATGTGCGGCAGTTAAGGATCTACCGGTTCATTTAGTTGACCCATGTAGGACCACAGAACGATTTGTTAATTTGGTCTTTGAGACACCTTTAACGACTTTCCAAACATTTCTCAGGCCCTTACCTATTCTCCTATTATTTAAAACCATAATGCTTGTGAAGGTTAAAATAATGACTTTGCTGGAAGTGAAAACTAACCACTGAACTATCCCACCGCCTCCCTCTCTTCTCACTCCATGTTGTACATGATAATGGTATAATGACTTAAAGGACTGATACATACTCAGAAATGTCGATAGTTCCTTTCAATTCATCTGCCAGTCCATTGGGAGCGAAGTAGTTTAGAAGGTATTTACCATCCAATGTTTTACACAGTTTGAAGATCCGGGATTTCCATGAAGACTTAATAAACAAAATAAAATATTCAAATGAGTACATTGAGAATAATTTCAGCTTTTCACATTTTCTACTGGGTCAGAAAATGTAAAAAAAAAAATGCTTCTATGTGAGAAGTCATAATGAGGAATTTTCAGATATGTAATAGTTCGAGCTTTGTGTGCATCATTTCTATGTTCTGCAAGGTTTTTCTTTTATAGAAAGCAGGTAATGAAAAACTACAGAAAAAATGAATAAGGCCATTGGATGTTAAAGTAATATTTTAGCTAAAGTTAGATTTAAGATCAGGATCAATGGCCCAAAAAAGCAAAGCTGTGATAAAATCTTCCTGCACGTACTTTACTGTGAGTTGCAGACACCACAAAATAACATAATACGGTTAAGTTGGTCCTTAACATTTATATCAAATTTTGGACAAGGGACATTACCCGATTACGAAACACTTTCCAACCAGGAGACTTAGTCAGCAAACCCCTCTTCAGCACTTCGCCATCTGAAAATGGAAAATGAGAATATAGCAAATATGTTATCCTTCGAGGGCCGGGGAACAGGTCTGCACACTCACATGTAGAGAATTAGCTCATCATTACATGATATATTTTATCGATTTTCTGAAACTTTATTCACATTAAGTTTGTTTCGTTCCAGGGTAACTTTCAATCCAGTCACCCAGCCAGGGGGCCAATTACCATTCTGCTAATGCTACCAGGAAGGCAAGCCCATGATGTTAAACTCCCTGCACTGGATACAAATCTCCATTATCACCTCATTATTACCTATCGTTAGGGAAATAGTTGTATGCAAGAAAAAAAACAGTGACCAATCATCGAAGTTAAATAATTGAATTATTTTTTTAAGAATTATAGCACGTACCTGTACTCGAACTACGTCTTCTTGAAGTCATTTTCAGGCTTCTACAAAAAGAACATCATTTACCATTTCAGTGTTACAGTAGACAGAAAACACAACCGAGCAGTATCACATAGAACAGAAATCACAACTTTATATTCAGACGATACAGGAGCACTTTAGTATTACTCGCACTGGATAGTTTTTGCAAACTAAAGATAAACAATTACAATAATATTAATAAATCCATTGACTAGTTCTAGAATCACTCATGATGGCTAATCTTGACACCTCTCACAAGTGACCGTAATAATCTTTGTGTTCACTCTGGGCATTGACCCGGGTACACCAACAATGGGAGGTTGGGCCCAGATGGTCTATAACAGGCTTTGGCACCAAAAAACACTTAGTGGAAACATATTGGTAGAAGCCGACCTTTGCGAGGGAACCTAATAAATATCTTACACAGAATGGTGTCCGAATCTTCTCAAATTCTTTGCAATAACAAAATTAGTGAATTGATTGTATTGGATTATTGATTTTTAAGTTTTGGAGTACTGATTGACAGTATTGGAAAATCACATGTCTGATCTCTTCTGGGAAGTCTGTTGTATAGATTTTAATTTGTTTAGCTTATTTTTGTCTTGTAGATATTAGGGCCTTAGTTATCTTCACAGAATATATTAATTGATTATATAAAACTTTAGACAGAAGTCTGCAGTCAATTTATTCTTATTTACTAACTGAATGTGCACTAGACCTTTTAGTCGGTTCTTTTAAACATTCTTTAATTTCAAATTTTTAATTACATAAAGAAAAACTAAACAGGACAAATAAAAGGATACAAAGCACATCTTTACAAGGGACGGACCTGCTAAAGGTGTTAATAGATTGACAATATTAATTAACAATAAAATCTTAAAGGGGAACTATAGTGCCAGGTATACAAAGCTCCCTCTGCCATCCCCTTCCCATGCGCCCCCCCATTCCCGGGAAATTAAGGCATAAAAACCCTTTATTTACTTACCTGATCCCTGCACCGATGTCCCTCGGTGCTGGGTCGAAGCTCTTCCTCTGTCCTTGCGCATGCATTGCAACAATAGGAAACATCTGATGCTGTAGGTTCTCATGCAGAGCGTGAGGACGTCCAGCGTCAGATACTGGAACAAAGGTCCGTTTCAAACTTGGAAGCCCTTTAGTGACTGTCTGGTAGAAGGCCACTAGAGGCTGACTTAGTGCTGCAATATAAACATTGCAGTTTCTCTGGAATTGTTTAACATTGTAGCACTAAGGGCAATAGGGGCAGTGCATCCAATCAGATGAAGTGGTCTTGGAGCCTACAGAGTCCCTTTAACAAAAGACTAGAATAACAACATAACATTTTTTTTATCATAAAGAGCGTCACTGAGAACACTGCCAGCAGTCGGTTTGTTTAAGAGCTGAGAACAAGGCTCTCAGCGGAGCATGTGAGCTACAGGTACAAAGTGGAAGGCAAGCTGGCCGTTCAGGTTTGTTCACTCAGATAATGTTTAACCCCTTAAGGACACATGACATGTGTGACATGTCATGATTCCCTTTTATTCCAGAAGTTTGGTCCTTAAGGGGTTAAAGACATGATAATACAGGCGGTGAAAGCAAAAAACATCATTTAACCGGAGCGTCCGAGCTCTGAAAGTTACACTTTTCAACGCATCGTCTACTTGCCATAAACACTCTCCTGACTGATACGAAGGGCTTTTAATCTGAGTGACCGGCAAGTGAAAATAATAACTTTGGCTTTTCAATAATCGCAATTTAAGGAGTATTCCCGTGTATCTCCGCAGCCAATAAAATGTCTAGATTTGGAACTGCTCAGATTCATCTGAATTGTCTTCTATCTCTGCTAGTTTAGCCTGCTGAGCTGAATAAATGCAGATCAATATTCATCATAAAGTCGATTCATTCACAAAACCCAAATTCACAGTGAACCGAAGGACAAGTTGCAGAACGGAGGCTGTAATAGCTGTGTTTAGTAAATAATAGCCCGTCACCTTTACTTACATTAGACTGTGGAATCCTGCAGCAGATTGTATTATCACAGAGCGAGCTGGTTGTGTCTGACTGTAGTATACGGAAGAATACAATGAATAGAGCTATTTATGCTGTTTTACCTTTTGAAATTTGATCTGGGAGGAATTTCTGTAAGCTTTGCACCTTGCACAGAAAGGGGAATTTCAGTGGAGGAATGGCTTATTTAGGGAAAACCCCTAACATTCAGGACGATTTGGGGTGAATAACTACTATTTGCACATTCTATTACATTGAATTATTTTCCTCGTGTTTCTGGCTATACCTAATACTTGCAGTTTTTACACTTTTTAGTCTAAATAGAACAAGACTAAGTGTGAGAAGGCAGGTGTTATTATTTATTTGCATATCCCGTTAACCCATACCTCCCAACAGAGCTGCCATCAGAAATTTTGGGGCCTCTTACACATTTGAAGGTCTGGTCCCCCGCGGCACACCTCTGAGTCCACCCACAGAGCCCACCCAAAGTCTGCCTACAAGGATGCAGAGAGTGTGTGTAGTGGATGCAGCGTGTGTAGAGTCGATGCAGTGTATGTGGAGTGGATGCAGTGTGTGAGTGTGTGTAGTGGATGCAGTGTGTGTCTGTGTGCGTGTGTAGTGGATGCAGTGTGCATTGTGTAGTGGATGCAGAGTGTGTGTGTGTAGTGGATGCAGGTGTGTGTAGTGGATGCAGTTGTATGTAGTGGATGCAGAGTGTGTGAAATGGATGCAGTGTGTGTGTATTGGATGCAGTTTGTGTGTGTAGTGAATGCAGAGTGTGTGATGGATGCAGTGTGTGTTTAATGGATGCAGTGTGTGTGTGTAGTGAATGCAGTGTGCCTGTGTAATGGATGCAGTGTGTCTGTGTGTAATGGATGCAATTTGTGTGTGTAGTGGATGCAGTGTGCGTGTGTAATGGATGCAGTTTGTGTGTGTAAAATCTGAATTAGAATCGATAGAAACATAGAATATGCAATATTCTACAGTGTGTGTAGTGGAAGCAGTGTGCGTGTGTAGTGGTTGCAGATTGTGTGTGTAATAGATTAAGTTTGTGTGTATATTCGATGCAGTGCGTGTTTAGTGGATGCAGTGTGAGTATGTAATGGATGAAGTGTGTGTGTGTGTGTGTGTGTGTGTGTGTGTGTGTAGTGGATGCAGTGTGAGTATGTAATGGATGCAGTTTGTGTGTGTAGTGGAAGCAGTGTGCGTGTGTAGTGGTTGCAGATTGTGTGTGTAATAGATTAAGTTTGTGTGTATATTCGATGCAGTGTGTGGTTAGTGGATGCAGTGGACGCATGTAATGGATGAAGTGTGTGTGTGTGTGTGTGTGTGTTTAATGGATGCAGTTTGTGTGTGTAGTGGATGCAATGTGCGTGTGTAGTGGATGCAGATTGTATAAGTGATGGATTAAGTTTGTGTGTATAGTCGATGCAGTGTGTGTTTAGTGGATGCAGTGTACGCGTGTAATGGATGCAGTTTTTGTGTAATGGATGCAGTTTGTGGATGTAGTGGATACAGTGTGCATGAGTAGTGGATGCAGAGTGTATTTATTGGATACAATGTGTGTGTGTGTAATGGATGCAGTTTGTGTGTGTAGTGGATGCAGTGTGTGTGTGTAATAAATGCAGTGTGTGTGTAGTGGATGCAGTGTGTGTGTGTGTGTGTGTGTAATAAGTGCAGTTTGTGTGTGTAGTGGATGCAGTGTTTGTTTGTAGTGGTTGCAGAGTTTGTGTGTAATGGATGCCGCTGGTGTGTAGTGGATGCAGATTGTGTGTAATGGATTCAGTTTGTGGATGTAGTGGATGCAGTGTGCATGTGTAGTGGATGCAGAGTATATGTAATGGATGCAGTGTGTGTGTGTGTGTGTAAAATGGATTCAGTTTGTGTGTATAGTGAATGCAGTGTGTGTGTGTGTAATGAATGCAGTTTGTGTGTGTGGTAGATGCAGTGTATATGTGTGTAGTGGATGCAGAGTGTGTGTATAGTTGATGCAGTGTACGCGTGTAATGGATACAGTTTGCGTGTGTAGTGGATGCAGAGAGCGTGTGTAGTGGATGCAGTGTACGCATGTAATTGATGCAGTTTGTATATTAAGTGGATGCGGTGTGCATGTGTAGTGGATGCAGAGTGTGTGTACTGGATGTAGTTTGTGTGTATAGTGGATGCAGTCTGTGTGTGTGTGTGTGTAGTGGATGCAGTGGATGCGTGTAATGGATGCAGTTTGTGGATGTAGTTGATGCCGTATGCATGTGTAGTGGATGTAGTGTGTGCGTAGTGGATGCAGTTTTTGTGTGTAGTGGATTAGTAGTGGGTGATGTTTATATTGGGTACAGTGTGTATAGTGGGTGCAGTGTGTGTAGTGGGCACAGTGTGTGTAGTGGGTGCAGTGTGTGTAGTGGGCGATGTTTATAGTGGGTGCAGTGTGTATAGTGGGCACAGTGTGTGGGCACAGTGTGTGTAGTGGGTGCAGTGTGTATAGTGGGTGAAGTGTGTGGGCACAGTGTGTGTAGTGGGTGCAGTGTGTATAGTGGGTGAAGTGTGTGTAGTGGGTTATGTTTATAGTGGGCGCAGTGTGTATATTGGGCTCAGTGTGTATAGTGGGTGCAGTGTGTGTAGTGTGTGATGTTTATAGTGGGTGCAGTGTGTATAGTGAGTGCAGTGTGTATAGTGGGCACAGTGTGTGTAGTGGGTGCAGTGTGTATAGTGGGTGAAGTGTGTGTAGTGGGTGATGTTTATAGTGGGCGCAGTGTGTTTAGTGGGTGATGTTTATAGTTGGTGCAGTGTGTATAGTGCGTGCAGTGTGTATAGTGGGTGCAGTGTGTGTAGTGGGTGCAGTATGTATAGTGGGTGCAGTGTGTGTAGTGGGTGATGTTTATAGTGGGCGCAGTGTGTATAGTGAGTGCAGTGTGTATAGTGGGCACAGTGTGTGTAGTGGGTGCAGTGTGTATAGTGGGTGATGTGTATAGTGGGTGCAGTGTGTATAGTGAGTGCAGTGTGTATAGTGGGCAGTGTGTGTAGTTGGTGCAGTGTGTATAGTGGGTGAAGTGTGTGTAGTGGGTTATGTTTATAGTGGGCGCAGTGTGTATAGTGGGCTCAGTATGTATAGTGGGTGCAGTGTGTGTAGTGGGTGATGTTTATAGTGGGCTCAGTGTGTATAGTGGGTGCAGTGTGTGAAGTGGGTGCAGTGTGTATAGTGGGCACAGTGTGTATAGTGGGCGCATTGTGTATAGTGGGTGCAGCGTGTATAGTGGGCACAGTGTGCATAGTGGGCACAGTGTGTATAATGGGCGCAGTGTGTACAGTGGTTACAGTGTGTATAGTGGGTGCAGTGTGTGTAGTGGGTGCAGTGTGTATAGTGGGTGCAGTGTGTATAGTGGGCACAGTGTGTACAGTGGTTGCAGTATGTATAGTGGGTGCAGTGTGTGTAGTGGGCACAGTGTGTATAGTGGGTGCAGTGTGTGTAGTGGGCGATGTTTACAGTGGGCGCAGTGTGTGTAGTGGGTGATGTTTATAGTGGGTGCAGTGTGTATAGTGGGTGAAGTGTGTGTAGTGGGTTGATGTGTATAGTGGGCGCAGTGTGTATAGTGGGCTCAGTGTGTATAGTGGGTGCAGTGTGTGTAGTGGGTGATGTGTATAGTGGGCGCAGTGTGTATAGTGAGTGCAGTGTGTATAGTGGGCACAGTGTGTGTAGTGGGTGCAGTGTGTATAGTGGGTGAAGTGTGTGTAGTGGGCGATGTGTATAGTGGGCGCAGTGTGTGTAGTGGGTGATGTTTATAGTGGGTGCAGTGTGTATAGTGGGCGCAGTGTGTGTAGTGGGTGTAGTGGATGCAGTGTGTGTAGCGGATGCAGTGTGTATAGTGGGTGATGTTTATAGTGGGTGCAGTGTGTATAGTGAGTGCAGTGTGTATAGTGGGTGAAGTGTGTGTAGTGGGCGATGTGTATAGTGGGCGCAGTGTGTGTAGTGGGTGATGTTTATAGTGGGTGCAGTGTGTATAGTGGGTGAAGTGTGTGTAGTGGGCGATGTGTATAGTGGGCGCAGTGTGTGTAGTGGGTGATGTTTATAGTGGGTGCAGTGTGTATAGTGGGCGCAGTGTGTGTAGTGGGTGTAGTGGATGCAGTGTGTGTAGCGGATGCAGTGTGTATAGTGGGTGATGTTTATAGTGGGTGCAGTGTGTATAGTGAGTGCAGTGTGTATAGTGGGTGAAGTGTGTGTAGTGGGCGATGTGTATAGTGGGCGCAGTGTGTGTAGTGGGTGATGTTTATAGTGGGTGCAGTGTGTATAGTGGGCTCAGTGTGTATAGTGGGTGCAGTGTGTGTAGTGGGTGATGTTTATAGTGTGCACAGTGTGTATAGTGGGTGCGGTGTGTGAAGTGAGTGCAGTGTGTATAGTGAGCACAGTGTATATAGTGGGCACAGTGTGTATAGTGGGTGTAGTGTGTATAGTGGGTGATGTTTATAGTGGGCACAATGTGTATAGTGGGCACAGTGTGTATAGTGGGTGCAGTGTGTGAAGTGGGTGCAGTGTGTATAGTGGGCACAGTGTGCATAGTGGGTGCAGTGTGTATATTGGGCACAGTGTGTACAGTGGTTGCAGTGTGTATAGTGGACGAAGTGTGTATAGTGGGCGCAGTGTGTATAGTGCGTGCAGTGTGTATAGTGGGCACAGTGTGTGTAGTGGGTGCAGTGTGTATAGTGGGCACAGTGTGTACAGTGGTTGCAGTGTGTATAGTGGACGAAGTGTGTATAGTGGGCGCAGTGTGTATAGTGCGTGCAGTGTGTATAGTGGGCACAGTGTGTGTAGTGGGTGCAGTGTGTATAGTGGGCACAGTGTGTACAGTGGTTGCAGTGTGTATAGTGGACGAAGTGTGTATAGTGGGCGCAGTGTGTATAGTGCGTGCAGTGTGTATAGTGGGCACAGTGTGTGTAGTGGGTGCAGTGTGTATAGTGGGCACAGTGTGCATAGTGGGCGCAGTGTGTATAGTGGGTGCAGTGTGTATAGTGGGCGCAGTGTGTTGAATGCTGTGAAAGTGTCTGACGTGTGGTTATAGAAGGAAGATATTTCGGTCCCAGAATACAGTCTGTATCCACCTGAGAGTAACGAAAATCTACATTTCCCAGCAAGCAGCACTACAGGTGAGGGCTAACGAAGGAATCACAGCCAACTTTAATTAATGTAAAATTGTTCTTTAAAAGGTCAGAGCGGGACGGATCCAGACCGTCATTGAAGGTAACAGAGTGATATGTGGACACAGTGTATTTACATGCTGTATTTTGTATTTTGTTGCGGCTAGTAAATTCAGCCATCCAGCCATGGTCACTAGCCACAGATAGTGCTCGGGTGAGAGCTTGGATTTATTTTCTGTTATTTTGTTTTAGTTTCTGGTAAAATATCCATATTGGCTGTGTAATAAATTGTGTTAAATGATACCAGATTGTGTCTAACCCTGGAAAACTGCTAAGAATCCTAAATGGGTGTAAACACGGGGTTAATGGCTAACATAGGACTTCCTTGGCAGACGATCTGTCTAAGATCACCTCCTGTCTGCTTCCTGCAATGCCCGCCAGTAATGTTTGCTGGAGTACATTCTGTTTTTAGTGAGTTTTTTTATATTTACCGGTGAAGTCCTTAGAAACCCAGCTGTGTAACATCCACTGCGTGAGAAGAGACTGTCTCAGGGTCTACATAACATTATGGAAATGGGAGAGTGAGTCGAACTGTCTTCACTTCTGATATCTGTCGATATTTACGCTGACAAATACGGGATGTACAGTTTTGCAGAACATGTTGGCGCTATATAAATGCTAATCATAATAATTGAGGACTGGACATACATAAAGGGACGCTACAGGCATCAATACAATTTTAATTTGATGGATTTTAGACTAATTTATATGCTCAAATCTTTATAGCTTCTTCACAAGAAACATTTTTTTTTTTTTTTTTAAGAATGTTGCACCACAAGGGGATCTCTTTAGCCATGCCCCCTCACCTTTAAGGAACAAAGCCCCCAGAAACCCTTGTAACATTTTCTTAGGTAACCATCCATCCCACCACCGAGAACACCTCAGACGTCTGTAATCTACAACAACAATTCTCAGGAGGCTCAACCAGTGAGTCTATACTGCCTGTAGATAATAAAGTTTATATTGTTGTATTTAGCAATTTTATAACGTTCATAGTTTGCTTTCTTCGAGCTGTAAATGACAGAGCCAGGAGGGTTCTCTTCTTCACTTATTTTGAGTGCTCAATCCACAAATACGTGGGGAGAAGGGAACATACAGGGTCATAGTGTGAAAGGAGATACCTGCGTATATACATCTAACCATGCATTCTCCTGGCTTCTCCAGTCTCACGTAGAAGATTCTATGACAAGAAGAACACAACTTGTCTAAGACACGAGTAACACAGGGAGAGATCAATAAACTGTCTTCTTCTCCAATAATTAGTTGGATTCTCTTCAAAGCTGCCAAATGCCCGCTGTAGATCTCTTAGTCAAATAATAATCAAAGAACTTTATTGCACAAAATTCAATAGATGATGAATCAATTCAGTTTTTTTAATAGAGGCAATGTGTGTAAATATTTATTTACAGAAGGGTTGGTGGAGATAAAACCGTGGAGATAAACATAAAGACCGAGGGAATTCAAAAATGCCTGTGGTACGTGGAAGAAACTAATTCAGGTGACGCTTTACAATTAATATGGGCCGAGCTGATGGTCCTCTTGGTCCTATTTTCCGTCAAAAGGTCGCGTTTCAGTAAAAAGTCAGCTAGTTAGAGATTGCAGAACGGCAGTTAGTGAGACGTGCCAGGAGGCCAGGAGAGAGGTCGGATATGAAGGGTAGGTGTTCAATATGTAGTACTGAAATCAGGAGACTCTAGCTTAAATGGGTGGGAACCAATATGGAGATGCTCAAGGAGGATTGTGAGAGATCAGACAAGGATACTGAGGATACTAAGTCTTTGAAGATATGAGAAGGATTAATAGAGAGTAAAGACTTTCAATATACTCACTGGTTACTTTGGTTTGAGCCATGTCTGTAAAATACGAAAATCAGATTAAAGAGGGTGAAGAAAGATGAAGCTGGGAAGGTTAGACAGATAGTGTATAAAAGCTTGGATGAGAAAGGAAGAAGAGATTCATGGGGCAGAACTTAGATGTAGAAACACAATTACTTTGTAGGAGGAGAAATATATATTGAAAGGGAATGGTAAGACACCAGGAGAAAGAGACTGGAGATAAGTGTTCGGGACAGAACAAGGGAAAATAGAATTGTTGAGGTTAGGTGGAATGGAGGTCTTGGAGCGGGTGATAGGAGAGATGATGATAGTTGCAAAAAACTTTCTGTCAGTCATCAGGTGAGACAGAATTTAGGGAACTGAGGAGATTTAGGTCAGTGTACGGAGTAGAAAGGATAATACCAGTAGGTGCTCAGGATTCAGGATTTGCTTGTGGGTGGGATTCAAGTTACGGCGGTAGGTGGGTGGGATTCAAGTTATGGCAGTAAGTGGTTGAGATTCAATGTTATGGCAGTAGGTGCTTGGGATTCAGGTTATGGTGGGCAGGATTCAATGGTATCGTAGTAAATGGTCAGGATTTACGTTATGGCAGTAGGTGTTTAGGATTCAGGCTATGATGATAGGTGGGCAGAATTCAGGTTATGACTGTAGGTGCTCAGCATTCAGGTTGTGGTGGTAGGTGCTCGGGATTCAGGTTGTGGTGGTAGGTGCTCGGGATTCAGATTATGGTGGTAGGTGCTCTGGATTCAGGTTGTGGTGGTAGGTGCTCGGGATTCAGGTTGTGGTGGTAGGTGCTCGGGATTCAGGTTGTGGTGGTAGGTGCTCGGGATTCAGATTATGGTGGTAGGTGCTCTGGATTCAGGTTGTGGTGGTAGGTGCTCTGGATTCAGGTTGTGGTGGTAGGTGCTCGGGGTTCAGGTTTTGGTGGTAGGTGCTAAGGATTGAGGTTATGGAGGTAGGTAGGTAGGCAGGATTCTGACAGTAGGTGCATTGTCCAGTGAAGAGACTGCCTGCTATTTCAGGGCTTTTCACTAATTTTGATAAAAAGAAAGGAATGTTTGTAACGAGCTCCTGTAGCAGATTGGTTAATAATTGACATTAAATAAATTTATGTCTGACCTTTGTTTCCTGAGTACGAGGCGAGAGTGTGACAAATCCATTTTTATTAAAGACAGGCACACAGATATATATTCATTCCACACTTTATGATAACGTGTTTTATAGCTTGCAAGAAAGAACCAAACTATTCCTCCAGACTAAACAGTCCTCACCATGTTACCCTCCTCAGCATGGTATTTTTCAAGGTTTATCAGTTATGAGATTATTTAAGATACATTCTTTTTATTCCTTATGTTTTGTTTTATTTGAATCATTCATTTATTCTGAAGATCTCTTAAAGCATACTTTCCAAGTCCGAGAGTTTTGCGATCAGGGCAGATTGTGTCTCCAGTGATGCCAAAATTGTTTGGGCTTGTGCCAACAGAAGGGGCACATCAGCCAAGCATTAATGGACGCTGTTATGGGTAAATGCAAATATTGTATTTCTCAAACTGTGTACTTTGTCTTTAAGATATATTGCAAACTGACGAGGTGTTAGCAATGGAACATATTGTTTTTCATACAAGTTTCTTTACGCAAAACCCTTTTACTTACTTTCAGTGCATAATATGTTTACACCATTTTGTCCAAGATGAAATACAATAACAATAATGCATAAACAAGCTTCAAGGCAATGCTACGACTCTTTCAGTACATAATATACTGCGGTAACCCTAAATAGATAAGATGTTCAGACTTTAAGATGCCATCTTGACCTAAGTCAGGGAATTTCCCACGACGTGTGCACCCTTAAGTTTTAGTTATGGCCTTGTATTTTGTATCCCTCTTAAGTGGAACGCTCTGTCTTATAGGGCCAATACCCCGTTACCCGGCATGTAGACACTTTTTTCCTCTTTAGGACCCTCTATTAGATATAGTAGTGCTCAATAAAGGTTTTTTATTTTGGTTTTGCTACTAATCTATTTTAGGTTGTACTAATTCCCATACGCCCACCTCCATCGGAGTGGATGTCTGGGATATTGTTCCTCTATTTTTCTATGGCTAGGGAACACAGTACTGCCCCGAGGCTCTGGTCTTTTCTTGCACCTAGCATGTACCATGTACTCCCCGACCTGGGGTTGTGAGTCCACCCCGTTCCAGTAGTGCTTGCGGGATAGTGCATGTCTGCTCTTGAAGGCATCAGAATCTCCCACTTTCATCGTAGTGAGAAACTGTCTGAGGAGGTTACCCATAATGGCACAAATAGTAATAGCATTGTGAGATTGCCTGCTCAATACAATGCAGATTATAAAATGGTATATATATCTGTAATATCTGGGGCTCCCCAGTAAGAGTAAAAACCTCTAGGAGTATATCCAGTAGGGAGGTACAGCGGCACCGACAAAGCGAGCCAATCATAGGAGCTGTAACAGTGACAGCCAAATCAAACAGCCCCAAATCTGCCTGATAAGGTAGCAGGGAAAGTGAGAATTCGCTGGGAGGTTGTCCCCCGTAATACCTCAGGGGGTATATTTCGCAAAGAGGTCCAGTGGCCCGGGCCACGCGAGTCACACGGTGAGGAAAGTATTGAAATGTACTGTAAGAGCTGTAACATCAGCAGTAAAACTACAGTATGTAGTATATATATATCCCTATTGTGCTGAGTACATGTGGGAGTGCACTCTCTAATCAGCAATCGGATCCTGTTCTGGTAAGAACCTGCAAGGTAACAAAGGCTGGTGGATATAACCAGGATAAATATCCACGTAGGAAATAAGTAGGGGATGGGCTCACCCTTCATTAAGGAAATCAGTATTCTGTACTGCAATAAACTGTAATGTAAACAGTAAACTGACGAGAAACGGTATAAATATTTGTACTGGGCTGAGCATATGAGCAGGGCTCACCCTCTTATAATGTAATTTGTATCAAATCAGCATTATGAGAGGGGTTTATTCTCTAATAGAGAAATTAGCATCGATAGCAGCAACGGGCTGCGTTAGTGAGAGGGCCGCAACCTCTAACAATCTAATTAGTCCTTATATCTGCAGAAGACTGTTATGAGAGGGCCTCATCCTTTAATAATGTAATTAGTAGCCATATCAGCGTCCGGCTGATATTAAGAGAGGGCTCCCCCTCTAGCAATGTAGTTAGTATCAATACCAGTGCTGGGCTGAGTTAGGCTTGTCCTCTAATAGAGAAATTAGTATCGATATCAGTAGCGGGCAGAGTTTACGAGAGGGCAGCACCCTCTAATAATGTGATTAGTATTCCATTAGTATCCCTACCAGCATCAAGCTGAGATATGAGGGGGGACTCACCCTTTAACAAGGAAATTAGTATAAGTATCAGCAACGGCCCTCTAGGGAATTGTTTATTTATCTTAGACTAAATTATATTTATGTCACAAATTCTTCAGAATTATGATGTTACTTCACTTTCCTCATTCGGTAGGATGTGTTTGAAGCCAACACCAAGTATATAGTCATCATGCATATAACATTATTTACTGCAGTCATAAAACTCAAAGCTTAGAAATAAATAGATTTGTTTCTAATAATGGTGCCAGTGAAGATGGATGATTACTTTAAATGAATCATCACTTTCCAATAATATTGTACTTGCCCTCGTTCTTCTAGCAATAAGGTTGGATGAGAAAACAATACAATAATATTTACTGCAATAAATCGCTATCAGACTAATGAGTTCTTGAAAAAACTAAGTCCAAACCAATGAGTAAACACCGTACTTTTATCACAACTCCTTCCTCCTACTGGGCAATGCACCCAGCGAGAAGTCAACTCAAAACACAGACCATATCACTAGGAACACATACCCACACCTACCAAGCATCAGCGTAGTGCAGGGCCTTGCCAAAGTGATGGGTATGAAGGATATACGCCATCTGATGACAATCTGGGAGGGACTCTAATAGAGAAGATGTGTGAGATTGTGGTGTGGGCTGTCACTTCATTTCCACGTACCATCAGGAGAAACAAAATTCTCGCAAACCATTACTGCGAGATTTGATATTTACTCCACCTGCGAACATATCCCATTATTCTGGATATTTAAATCGTGTTTTTTATATATATTAAAGTATTTTTGGTCATCTGTTTGTGCCAATTATCTTTTCTATAGACACATATGATTCCTTTTTTTTACCCTGGCCTTTTTATTGTTATTTTAAAAAAATTTTTTATGGTTTTAAAAGAAACCTAAAAAATTCCTGGAAGTTTCCTGTACCCAAAGAAATCCGTAGGTGGGGATCAATCCACCCAAGCTATCATCAAAGAGCAGTGGGTCTGCTCTTTCTTTGTAAGTACATTTCTTTTATTATTTAATTATTATTTGCCATACAGTGAGCACTATTGGCTGTTTATTTTATCCCGAGAATTGGATACCATTCACGGAGGAGAACCTGCCCATATCCCATAAGCGGGGATCAAACCGCTGTACGCGCTTTACTCCAGAGCTGGACATTAGCTCTGGTAAATGTGAGTTTTATACTATTTATTTTACGTCTATACCTAAATTTTACATACTATACCATTGGATGTCCTGTTTTTCCTCTTTTTATTTTTCATAACGAGTGAAACCACCATATAAATAGAAGACCCCACCAACCAAGGACACCTGTAAGAATATACCAGTTGGACTTTTTCTCTATTTTTCCTTTTATTGGACTCTATCTAATGTGCGCAGCCTTTTACTGTTTTTATCTATATCCCATTATTCACTGTAAATGCCAAGATTTCTGCTAGATTTAATGGGACAACTCACAGAAAATTACAAAAGAAATAGCATTAGGACAGAAAATACAAACTGCAAGATCTAGCAGAACAATTTTTAAACCCTGGATTATAATCCAAAGGCCAGACCCCAGGTTACTTTCAGTTCCCACTGGTTAGGACAGTCACACCATCAGCACCTGCCAATGCAAATGGTTACCTTGAGCAAACATGCTTTGTGTTATTGGGAAGACGTTTTGTGGAATATATTCGGAATATTTACAATATGGTAATTTTAAGGAGTAATTAAGCAGATTTCAGAAAGAAAGAATGAATAACCAAATGAATGCCATGTAGTTCATTTGTGTGCAAAAATTAGATGACCTAGCTTGCTATAGTGGTTATGCTGCCAGGAGTGTTGGAGACATTTTATTTCCCAAGACCACCCATTAGTAAAAAATCCAAATATGTTATCAGCAGGTTATTTGACCATCTGTATTTATCAATTGTTGTTAATCCGTGTTGTAGGGTTCACTCATTAAACATCGAACTCTAATGACTGAAATCTAAAGGTCGGGCAAAATAAATAAATACGTTGGAAAAAAATGTCCAACTCCTGTATAGTGACAGCTTGGCTAGTGACTAGTGACAGCTTGGCTAGTGATTAATAAATGAAACCTTTTTAGAATTTTTTTTTTACTCCTCTTCATATTTTTCCCTCTATTGGTTATTTGTCGTGATGTCGTGAACATGAAATTTTCGAACCGCCATAGACATCAATAGGCAGGCGAATTTTAAAACCCACCAGTTGTTTCAAGGGGACTAACACCTGGACTGTGGCATGCAAACTCCGATCTGCGGCTGCATCTTGCAGCCGCTTAGTAGATAACTCCCTAATTCCCACGGTATTAGAGAGCTATCTACTAGAAGAAAGAAAACATCAAATGGTAATTTATTTTATTTTTTTACAGGTACTTAGTTATAGGTCCCCCCCTCATTATTTTTAGGGTGAGGGGGGTAGGTAGGGGGTTAATTTTTTTTTGGGGGGAGGGGGTGATTAGGGGTTTGGGGACCCCTAGTCACCTGGGGGGGGGACATTTTTTTAGGGCCCCCACCCACCGCTTAGGGGTGGGGGTCGGGGGGGAAGACCTTAGGTCGTCCCCCCTTTTTAGTATTTAGGGCCCCCACCCGCCGCTCAGGGGTGGGGGCCAGGGTGGAGGACCTTAGGTCCCTCCCCTTTGTGATTTATTTGCCCCCACCCACTGCTCAGGGGTGGGGGCCGGGGAGGTATTAGTATTTAGGGCCCCCACCCGCCGCTCAGGGGTGGGGGCCTGGGGGTAGGACATTAGGTCCCCCCCCTTTTTAGTATTTAGGGCCCCCACCTGCCGCTCAGGGGTGGGGGCCTGGGGGTAGGACCTTAGGTCCCCCCCTTTTTAGTATTTATGGCCCCCACCCGCCGCTCAGTGGTGGGGGCCAGGGGGGAGGACCTTAGGTCCCCCCCCTTTTTAGTATTTAGGGCCCCCACCCGCCGCTCAGGGGTGGGGGCCAGGGGGAAGGACAGAAGTTCCCCCCCTCTTGTTTTTTTTTAGGGCCCCCACCCACCGCTCAGGGGTGGGGGCCGGTGGGAGGACAGTAGGTCCCCCCCCCATATCATTGAGTAAACTTTGACAACCCACACCCCCGAGCGGCGGGTGGGGGGGTTGTCAAAGTTTACTCAATGATATGGAATGGGGGGCGGACCGAACGCGATGTTCGCCGGGAACTATTCGCCGGCGAACTGTTCGGGACATCTCTAGTTATTTGTTCTCGCTTGATCTGTGAACCAAATGGTGGGAAAATGCTCCTATCAGTATACTGTAAAATTCGATCTTTATATTATTATTAATGCTATTAATATTTAATATTAATGATAATTAATATGTCTATATTTTACAGTACATTGGCTGTCACATACCCGACTGTACATATCCATCCCAAGCGCCCATGGTATCCTGGATGTGACTATGGCATTCCTTGTCTCCACGGCCTATCCCTCATGTTCCTCAATGTCTTCTGTTGGTGCTGGGATCCACAAAATGGCGGCCCCCATGTGGCCTCCTGCCCAGTATTTAAGGGGTATTAGAAGGAGCTGTGGATGAATCGGGATGTGGAGGTGGAACTGTGATGCAGCCAAGATGGTGCTAAGTCCCAAAGGTGCATTGTATAGCCTCTGGAGGCTCTGCCAATGTGGGGATTATAAACCAATGCACTCCCCCACCACCTAATCGGTGCATGATTGTTCCTGTGCCTAGCTCTAGACTCCTGGTGATTCATGCTTTGACTTTCCTGGTTCCTGCCTTTCTTTCCGAATTGTTGGTTCCTGGGGCTTCTGAGCTTTGGCTTTCCTTTTTGACTTTAGTCATTAGCTGCTGCCTATGATCTCCAAACCAATTATTGCCTGCTGTGTATTGGATGCCTTGCCTTCTGTTTCATCTATACAAATGGCCCCTGTGCTGCCACCGAGCCCTCAGGGTCCTGTTTCCACCTTCAAGTGGACCTGAGGGTTGTAACTGAAAGGGGCTTGCTGTTCCACTGCAACCATTTCCTCTCTAAAACTAACTAACTGAAAGGTTGTCATATTAGCTAATTTTCTCTCCCTTTTGTCCTAACCATTTGTATAGAATATACACGAATATTTTACATGGACAGTATTTGGACAAGCAGAACCGCTACATGGACAAATATCAGACGCTCCAAACTAAATAAAATAAAATAAAAAAATTCCCAAGTAAAGTGATTTTGCCAAACCACACATTTCTGCTGTGCTCAAGTTTATTGTCCATCACATTTACAATTTCAGGCAACGGGTTTGATCTGAATTATCTGATCAGTGTCTAAAAGAAGCACTCTGCCATATTTGTGAACTCTGTATGAAATTCTAATTCTGTATTAAAGTCCTTGTTAATGCTTATTTAACATTCTATTATTCTAGAACATCTGCAGCAAAGACTTCCATTCTTCTTTTCTTTATCTGTAGATTTATTTGGTCACTGACCAGTATGGAATTCCTGGCTCCAGTCTATAGGTCAGGACAGGGGTTAAGGGAATAATAATAACATGCATTTATGCGGAACCTTTCTCCTAGTGGGACTCAGGACAGTCTTCAGCTCTTGGAGCTGACCAGGTCAGCAGTTGACTAGTAGTATATGTCAACATTGTTTTGCCAACCTTGGAGAGATGGGGTGTTGGGTTAGCCATGCTTGGATTTGAACCTGCAGCCTTGCCTTTTGTTGGAGAGATGGGGTGTTGGGTTGGCCATGCCAGGATTTGAACCTGCAGCCTTTTTTCAGCAAGCTTTGTGGTCAGGGATTTTGCCAGCTAAGCTATGGCATTGGCAGTGTGTGTCTTCACTATGTTTTTGAGATGTATAATATGTGACAACATTCCACTCCCCTGGTAGACTGCAGAATAGGGTTTAGAAACTCCGCCCCTCAGGAACTCCCACATTGAACAGCTGATGGCCATGTTTCATCAGCAATAGGTATTTAAATGGAACAACAAGCTGCTCATGTTCACAGGCTCCTTACGACGGCGTTTTGAACACGCTGAAATGCATGTCGAGCGTTTTCTTTTTCTTTAATCTCTGCACTTGGTCACACTTTTTTATTTTGGTTACCACTATGGTTATTGATTTTAGGTGTTTATTTCTGTATAACTTTAGTAGGGAGAGTTGGTTCAGGTAGACACTAGTGGTTAGACCACGGTGTCGAGGTAACTTTTAGGGTGAATTGAGAGATTTATTTAATGACCGTATTTTTCGCTCCATAAGACGCACCTCACCATAAGACGCACCTAGTTTTTAGATGAGGAAACCCAGAAAAAAAAATATTCTGAACTGTTCCATAGTGTTTCTTACTATGGGACAGTTTGTTCAGAATATTTTTTTTTAAGGAATTTTTTGTTCCTTACCACCCACTCCCCTCTCCCGTCCCATAATGATCTTTAACCCCCCTCCCCTGTCCCATAGTTATTTTAACCCCCCTTTTCCTCTGTCCCATAGTGATTGTTAACCCCTCCTCCCCTTGTCCAATAGTGTTCTCATCCCATAGTGTCCCCCCCCTTGTCCCATAATGCACTTTCCCTCCCATAGTGTCCACCCCTCCCCTTGTCCCATAGTGTCCGCCCTCCCCTTGTC